TTCTTCCTCCTCTTTTTCCTGAGATGCTCTGCCCTTCTAAGAACTGCTAGCCTGCTTCTCAACTCCTCTTGCAACACCTTAATTCCCTCCCTTTCTTCTTCTGTAGCCTTTCTCCACACCTTTCTTAACTGTCTCCTTTCCTTGACTAGCTCCTCTATTTCTCTTTGCCGCCTAGATTTACCTGACTGTACCTTCTCACTCCTCTTTCTCTCATGCAACCCAAACCTCTCTACACCATATGAGTAAATTATATCTTCCATCTTTTCTAACCTTTCTATTGCATTTCCTCTAAGCCTACTTAAGATTATTGACAAATCTCTATTAACTATCTCCCATTCTTTACTGTCATTTGCCCTAGGCCATCTAACTCTAGCCTTTTGCTCCATGGTTCTCTCTCTGACTGGCACACTGGCCTCATTGTCACCTGCATCCTCTCTTACTGCCCCCTCCTCCTCCTCCTCCTCAGTGGCAGCGTTACTGATATCCTGCGAACTGTGGTTTTCTACCTGCCGCTGGACTTCATCTGACTTCTTAGGAAGTACTGATCAATGCGGCTACTTTGCCCTTTCTTTGCCACACACATCTTCTTTCCCTGATAAGTTCTGAGGCCTTTTACTGATGTTACTTTCTGCCAGCCACAAGGACAAACCTGAAGCATCTTGTTCTCAACTGTGCTACATTTATCCTCTACAGATGCGCTCGCCTTGCCCTGAGTGCTGCTAATTCTAGCCCTGGTGGATAGGTCCGTGCCCCTATCCTTCACTGAGTCACAGATCGAATGCGTAGTCGTGTCCATTCCAATGTCTGTTACCGTGTAATCCACCTGTGAGTCATCTTCCACCCCTGCTCTCACTGACTCTTGGGGTATTTTTCCTATGTTGGCTGTAGCTAATTTTGGTTGTAGTAAGGCTGCTAGGCCTCACCACTGCTACCATGGGTTGATAGCCCATGCCAGCACCTTTGGGGTCTTTTCCCTCCTGTCAGCTGTCTTTCCAAGTGGTCACATGGTCTTTCCCTTGTTGTCAGCTGCCCTATTCACAGCAGTCACTAGCTGGGCTAGTTCTGAGTTCAAATAAACACAAGAAGTTTGTGCTCTAGAGAAAGGATCAACACTCGGTGAAAAACCTAAGCCCTATGATAAGCTAATATGGCAAGGCTTAACTATAAAACCAATGAGCAGCAGAAATGAGACATCGTTACGATCAGAGCCAAGTGGGAAGGATTAAGAAAGAGACGACTCAACAGATAATGATAAAACTCACAACAGATGGTCAGAGACAAAGACAGAACATTCCACAGAACAAGCTGAAAACTGAGCACTCTGTTTATAGCTAAATAGCATGAATGTGAAAAAAGATTTTTTTTAGTATTTGAGTATTGAGTATTTGAATTTTTGATATCTAATGGAAAACAAAAAAAGTCCGTTCGAGAAGATGGGAACGAGGTCGCGAGCTTTCTGGCCCAGCTCCAGACCTTTTAGTTTTTGTTTCGACACTAAACTAACTAAGAATAAGAATAAGTAATGATAAGACTGGTTAGTGATGACAAACAGCGTCATGTCTGACCTCTGATCACACAGCAAGATGGCTCCATAGTCCTCCTTGTGGCGAATGACTCTACCGATGGCCTGGTTCACAGCTCTGAAAGCCTGCTGTCTGTACCACTCCTGCCCAGACAGGTACTGTGTGTACACACACACACACACACACACACACACACACACACACCGATAAGTTAAGTAAGATAAGACTGAGCCACTAAACCACCATCAAGCTGTTTTCTCTCACCTTCAGCCCAGGAGCTTTCTGCCGACTCATCTCATCCAAGAACTGCATCTTCAGGATGACTCGAGGGTCCATCCGAGGAGGAAAAGGAAGGCCTGTGATGATGACACCCCGACCAAAGGTGTCTGCAAAATCCAGACCCTCGCTCGCCTGACACAGGGAGACATTTTAAGAAATGCAGTGAGAGGAAAGCATTTGTGTAGACTTAATAAATAATAAGTTAAATCAATTATTTAATAATTACTCTGCTAACACTGACATTTAAATGCTGTGCAGATTTATTATTTGCATGTCTATTCATTCTGTTTAAACCCAGTATTTCTGCATAGTTGCAAATAAAGATTAGGATACACTAATATTACTATTATTATTATTATTATTATTATTATTATCATTACTATACTATCTGTGGGATTAGATACTAGTTGTGGCTGGAAGAAATCTTCCAATAACTGCAGAGTGTTGTAGAGTCTAAAAATCCAAATTTATTGAACAAGGATAGAAGTAATCATTTCCAAACTTCCTAAATTTTTTTTTGAATCTACCAAAATATTCTGCTTCGATCCATATTTGTTGGCATTAAGTTTTCACTGTGGTCAAAAAACTGTTAACTCTCATGCCTGCCGCACTCAAAGAGAGGCATACTCCTGTATTAATGGAGCAGACCAGCAGCAATCTAACAGCACCATGAATTACATTTAATCATAAAGTAATGTTTTAAAAAAACAAATTTACGGTAATCCTAATCTGGTGCCCTTCTGTGTGGAGTTCGCATGTTCTCCCCTTGTCAACATGGGTTTTCTCCGAGCACTCTGGCTCAGCTTCCTCCCACAGTCCAAAGACATGGAGGTTAATTGGTGACTCTAAATTGTCTGTAGGTGTGAATGTGAGCATGAATGGTTGTCTGTCTCTATGTGTCAGTCCTGTCATAGTCTGGTGACCTGTCCAGGGTGTACCTCGCCTCTCTCCCAGTGACAGCTGGGAAAGGCTCTAGCACACCTGTGACCCCGAACAGGATAAGCAGTTACGGAAAATGAAAGAATAAATAATTCAATCTAAACAATCACTTTCTTCAAGTTAAGTATTTTGTTGTAGGATTTGAAAAACATGTTTTTTAGGGGGATAATTTCATGATGGTGATTAAACATTTGAAGCTTAATCCGAAAATCTCAATAGAAGCTTCGCACATAAAAAAAATGACATTCAGTACAGCCCTAATGTCAATACAGTGAAATCTATGACATTTAGAAGTTAATCAATGTATTTTTGTTACACTAAGAGGCTAGCTGAGAGATGACAGTTTGTAATTGCAGTTGATGAAAGTCAGGCTGATAAAACTGCAACGATAATGATAAAACTCACAACAGATGGTCAGAGACAAAGACAGAACATTCCACAGAACAAGCTGAAAACTGAGCGCTCTGTTTATAGCTAAATAGCATGAATGTGGAAAATTCATACTAGAGATATCATTGTGCAGATTAAGATATTTTTGTGGGGAGAGAGACGGAATGACACAGCCTTTCTACATGGGGCTCCTGCTCTACCAGGTGAGCTAGTGGGCACCCCTTTTTGTGCAGATCTTTTTAAAACATATTCTATTCTTCAAAATTAACATAGTTTCCAAACTCTAACCATTATCCAGCCATATTCCCAATTTTGATGTTATTTTACTCTACTTGTTTCTTTTTACTGTATTTGTGTATTTTAAATCATATTGTTTGTTGATATTGTATCCGTGCTGTTTGATATCATCTTTGTCTTTATGGTTTCTAATGCTTTTTGATAAGGCCAAAAACTTTTCCACAACATTGACAACTATTTTTTTTACCATAACAATGACAACTGAAAATGGGAAATGTTGGATGAAAAACAACAGAGTGACAATTTTGCTGTGCTTATTAAAGCTTTTCCAGATAATGATACTAGAGGAAAGGTGATGGTGCCACTAAAGACAAGCTACTGTATTCTCTCTGGAGATCATAAATATCCGTAATACATGAAATGGCAATATAATTCATTTATCTAAAATTCTTTGTCTTACTATTTTGGTGTTTTTAGGGTAAAGCAATATATTTCAGACTTTTTTTTTTTTTTAACTTTATGGTCATGCAGTAACCTCACCTTCCCTCGACACACAGCAAAGAAACTTCCTCCTTTGGATGATGGGTCATTGATTTTGTTGTAATATCCATCAATAACCTAAGAACAGACAGAGAGACAAGATGTTGTTGTAACTGTTGTTATCAGTGCTCAGACTGACAAGCCCTAAAAAGAAATGTTTCCAGAACACATCATAACCAGCTCATGAAATATTGTTGTTTGTTCCAGGTTTCTTCAAAGACACTGTCCAGATGGAGCTTTCAAAGGCATACATGTAGATAATAAAATCATGCTCACCTCAGTAAAGATGCCCTTTCCTTTGGGCTCTACAAACATGGGCTTTATGCTCTCAATGCGATCTGCATGCCCATTAGCCTGGTGAGGGAACACACACACTGAGCCTGATCTTGCATGGTAACACTCAATTCAGAAATCATCCAAAATAAATAAATCAACAAAAATACAATATAATATCACAATATGTTCTCCTGCTGAATTTCCACTTACTCTCCAGAAGTCCAGGGTTTTTTCCATTAAAGGGAAGGAAGGAAAAAATACTAAGAGACCATGAGGAACCACACGGGTCAGGTTGGCTGAGGAGAGAACACAGCATGCAACGCATTCATGTCATGATTGAAACAGAAATGATGAAATATCTCACACTACAGGCACATATCAGAAGAAACGGTCCCCACACATTTTCATGGCCAAAAAAAAAATCGTCATGATCCATAGGAAAGATTTAATTTTAAGGCTCACTTGCCTGGCAATTTTCAAAAATATCAGATTCAACTCTATTCAAACATTACTTCAGCTAGCAGGCATCCAGTAAGGTAGAGACAAACCCAGGGAGAAAGTATCAAAAAGTATGTAACGGTAAACAAAACGTTGTCACAAAGACGCACATTAGAGCTACATTACGTCAACAGCTACAGAAAACTATTTTGCTGTTATGTTACATCACGTAGAAGGTTATCCCTGGAAGATTATTGTTAACAATTTCATTACACACAACAAAATTCCAGGACTTTTCCAAACCTTTCAATGATTCTGACTACTTCCATGACTTTTCCAAGCCTGGAAAAGGTGGAAATTTTCCAGGTTTCCATGATTGTGGGAACCCTGTAATAAACCTCCCGTTCAGAAAGGGCATTTGCGGGTGAAATAATGAGTACCGTTTAGTTACCTACAAATAACAATGGTGCTGAGAAACCTGTCTTCATAAATTTGTTAGAATAGAAACATTTCTATATTGTTTGATCTTACCAACAGTGTTTCCTAAAGATGCCATGTTTTCAGGAAGAAACCTGTCAGAAGGAAACATTTTGAGTTTTACTTATTATTTTAAGACAAGACGTTAAACCAACTGTAGAGTATTTTACTATCAAAAGTAACTGCTCCAAAGACAGTCACATCAGGAGGTTGTGTCAGATGCGTGCAGAAGATATAGTTGGTATATAAGAAGATGGATACTTGTGTGTAAAAGACAGCAGCCTGAATTTAGAATACTACAAATCAAAAGGAAAAGAAGAAATTTGTTTTGCCGATAAATATTTTCCAGAATACCAAACTTCAACCCTGTCCAATAAATTACATATGTTTGAGTCTCTTATTTCTAACTATTGTGCTCGCTGATTTAAGTGTAGAAGCTTGTCTGTAGAACAAAATACAAACCTTCGATCAAACGCTGAACTCAATGGCACTCCATCTGGGCCCTGTTCAATGACGGCAACAAAGATCTGGTCTCGCTCAATCACATGACTGTTCTCCAGACTCACTGGAAACTTTCTACACCGACAGCAACAACAAAAGAAATTGGGATTGATAGATACATATTGGATGATATATAAAATATTTTGCATAACATTTCCCATTGATTTTAATGTAAGGTGTTTTTGCTCATAAAAAAGCTATTGAGCTGTGATTAACATGTCGCTGGTATGAAAATTTTTGGGGTATGAAAAATAACTGACACACATACAGTACGTTTCTGAAATAGTTTCATTAAGAGCTAGAGTTGGGAGTCACCAGAGGCCACATCACGATACGCAGGCCACAATACAATATTACTGCGATATGCCGAGTATTACGATAAATTATATTGCAATATATTGCGATTTATCACCTTTTGTTTAACTGCAAATTATGACCTGTCAGGAAAACATTAGCAGTTTTATCCAATAAGGTAAGTTTTTAGTCTTTTCATCTTACTTTAGTCATTTTTATTGCAGCAATATGTATCTGGTAAACCGAAAAAGCAAATGATTATATCACTCCAGTGAGCTAAAAAAAATTTAATTTGTATTTCTACTATCAATAATTTATACAATAAAAAAATCAATGCTTGGCATCGATGTAATGATACCATATTACCACACAAACTATGCTGTATCGATCCCCAGTATAGTAATACATGAGGATAGCAGCTGGAGTCCCTGGAATAGCACAGACTAATCTAACTAATGATGTAGGAACATAAAGCCATGCTATGAAATCAGCACACTCAAACAAAAGATGACCAACAATTCAGTACAGTGGCCATTTCATTGTAGTGAGACCATTTTCAGAACTTGACTTCTCTGTATAAAATGACCTATATTGACCTCTTGGCTAATCTATAAATTACAGCGTCATGAAAGTTTACCGACACAAACTAGAACCTAGGGGTGGGGGAAATAATTGATTTTTAGAAGAACTCAACTGTGAGGGCAGTGCAGCACCCGGAGAGTTCACAGCGTGGACATGCCGGAGTCATCTGAACTTTCTAGTTTTCAAAGCAAACGTGAAGTATATTGTGAATACTTTCTACGCCATTACCCAGAAACTAACGTTAATGTAGCAGCAATCAGCAGTAATGTAAACAAAGAGACCTGCTGACTAACACATTCTGCAGAATTAACCAAGTTAAACCGATTTTGTACTGAAGACAGAAACTCAAAAAAAAAAAAAAAAAAAACGCCTCTGCCTGGCCCATTCAGCATCTTAGCTTCTCCCAGAGCTAATGTGCAGCAGAGAGGCTGAATGTAATGGATGTACAATAACAGAGAGCACACTGGACAATGGAAATAGAGAGTTTAGAACAATGAGTTAAACAGCTCTGTACTCTCAGAAGAATTCTGGTAGCAGCCCTATGTGCAGATAGCCTGGTGAAACCATCCTGATCTTGTGAGCTCATGTTCTATTTCACTCCGCAGATCAGTCTGGCCATGGAGTCATACACGCGAATCCTGGCATCGGTTTTGGCTTACCGGGCCAGTCACAGCTGTTTATTACTTTGGGGCAGGTTATTTGAAATCACGTCATCAGAATAGGAGGGACAAGGAGAGAGTGAATGCATTTTGTTAAACAACCAACATGGCTACTGATTTTGAAACTGCAATGGTGAATGTGTTGAACGAACGGGAATGTATATTTTCTTTAAAAGCAGAGCCAACGGCTGCACTGAAAGCTTTTATTGAAAAAAAAAGGATGTGTTTGATGTCCTTCCTACGGGGTTTGGTAAAAGTTTAATTTGCCAACTGCCTCCGTTGATGGGGAAAAAGATGGGACTCAGTGAAAACCCAGTGGCTATTGTTGTTTCTCCACTAGTTGCTCTCATGGAGGAGCAGGTCAGGGAAGCGACCAAGCTGGGAATCACAGCCATGCAACTGGGAGTCCACAGTGAGGAGGAAATCTGCAAACTGTTCGCAAACACTTGCTGGTCTGTTTACAGTGGCTTTGTGCTAGCCTATGTCACATGTTTAATTTACTCTGATTGGTTTTCCGTCTTTCCAATTGTGTGAAGGGGCACTTTGAGTGACAGCCATTGATACCGCCCCTCGGGAATAGAGGAAATGACCCATTCGCGTTTTGCGAATTGGGTCTGGCAACACCAGGCTAATGTGCAGACATAAGCTGTTGAAAGCCTCCAGAGATGACAAAGAGAGCTTGATGTACGGTCTACACAATGACCATACATCATGACTGTACATCATCCTTTATTCCCTAAATCTGTTTCAATTGCACTTACAGTCAGGTCCATAATTATTTGGACAATGATACAGTTGTCGTCATTTTGGCTCTGTACACCACCACAATGGGTTTTAAATGAAACAATGAATACCTACTTAAAGTGCAGACTCTCAGCTTTCATTTGAGGCTTTTTTCAAAAATGTAGTATGAACTGTGTAGGAATGACAACCATTTCTTCACACAGTCCCCCGACTTTAAGGGCTCATAAGTATTTGGACAAACTAACATAATCATCAATTAAACAGTCAGTTTTAATACTTGGTTGCAAATCCTTTACAGTCAATGACTGCCTGAAGTGTTGGATACATAGGCATCATCAGATGCTGGGTTTCTTCCCTGGTGATGCTCTGCCAGCCCTTTACTGTAGCCGTCTGCACTTTCTGCTTGTGTTTTGGATGTTTTGCCCTCAGTTTTGGCTTCAGCAAGAGAAACGCATGCTCAATTGGATTCAGGTCAGATGATATGACTTGGCCATTGCAGAACATTCCACTTCTTTGCCTTAAAAATGTCTTTGGTTGCTTTTGCAGTATGCTTCAGGTCAATGTCCAACTGCACTGTGAAGCATCGTCCAATGAGTTTTGAAGCATTTGGTTGAATCTGAGCAGATAATGGTGCCCCAAACACTTCAGCTTTCATCCTGCTGCTCTTGTAAGCAAGACAAGACTTCACTAGAATAAATACAGAGGGTTTATCACAAGATGCAAACCATTGGTTAGCCTTAAAAATGGAAGGCCAGATTAGAGTTTGTCAAAAACCATCTAAAAAGCCTGTACAGTTGTGGAACAGCATACTATGGACAGATAAAACAAAGATCAACTACCAGAATGATGGGAAGACAAGAGAAGGAAGAAGGGAAGGAACTGCTCATGATCCAACGCACACCACCTCATCAGTGAAGCATGGTGGAGGTACTGTTATGTCATGGCCATGTATGGCTGCCAGTGGAACTGGTTCTCTTGTATTTATTGATGATGTGACTGCTGACAAGAGCAGCAGGATGAAAGCTGAAGTGTTTGGGGCTACATTATCTGTTCAGATTCAACCAAATGCTTCAAAACTCATTGGACGATGCTTCACAGTGCAGTTGGACATTGACCTGAAGCATACTGCAAAAGCAACCAAAGACATTTTTAAGGCAAAGAAGTGGAATGTTCTGCAATGGCCAAGTCATATCATCTGACCTGAATCCAATTGAGCATGCGTTTCTCTTGCTGAAGCCAAAATTGAGGGCAAAACACCCAAAACACAAGCTGGAAGTGCAGACGGCTGCAGTAAAGGGCTGGCAGAGCATCACCAGGGAAGAAACCCAGCATCTGATGATGCCTATGTGTCCAACACTTCAGGCAGTCATTGACTGTAAAGGATTTGCAACCAAGTATTAAAACTGACTGTTTAATTGATGATTATGTTAGTTTGTCCAAATACTTATGAGCCCTTAAAGTTGGGGGACTGTATGAAGAAATGGTTGTCATTCCTACACGGTTCATACTACATTTTTGAAAAAAGCCTTAAATGAAAGCTGAGAGTCTGCACTTTAAGCAGGTATTCATTGTTTCATTTAAAACCCATTGTGGTGGTGTACAGAGCCAAAATGACGACAACTGTATCATTGTCCAAATAATTATGGACCTGACTGTAGTTGCATATCACCTCTATTGATACATCAACTTTCCCACACCCATGATTGAAAGCTATTTTGTGAAATTTCAATATTTTTTTTTTTCTAATTTTCTTATTTTTTTTGTGTGTGAAAATGGAAAACATACACAAAAAAATAGAAGATGAAAATGCATCTATTAAGGCGTAGCAGCTGTTTACACTGGTGAATGTTTGGGGCAAATCTACTACTCAGATGACTTCCGTCAGTGGTTAAGAAATGTGATTGTGCACCTCTGTAGGTAAAAAGCAACTGGTAACTCACATCCTCATCTCAGAGGTGAATGAGGTCAGGGGAGAGAGGGTACCACTGGTCAGAATGATGCAGCTAACACCTTGATTCACCAGATCCTGCATGCTGAAGCCAGGAGAGAAGCACCAGTAACTCAGAATGTTGCCTACAAACAAACATAACGTTTATTAAACCAGAGTATGAGCAGATCAGTGAGAGGAACTACTGACAAAACTAAAACTCTCAACAGTAAACACAAAAAATCATGATACAGTCATTCAATGAATCTGATAAAGGGTATTTCTGTTTTTGTTTAGTCTTGGGATAGATTTTTCAGTCATTTGAATAAGCTGATCTGAAGTTTTGCAGTACCTAACTAGAAGAAAAATCATGTTTAACCAGTATCTTACTTTTTAACTCAGTGTCTGAGGAATGGGCTCAATGATTCCACAGCTGGAACTGTGTGAACACTGTAATCCAGCAAGTCCCAGGCTGGGTATTATTACCTTGTTTCTTTGATGAAGATGAAGCCCACACAACAGTGCTCTGGGTTTTCTTCTGATAGCTGGTATCTCTGTGGATATGAACCTGCGCCACACAGATATGACAGCTGACATCACTTTGTACATAACTAATTTCACTCCCATACAGCTATTTGTGGCATTTAATGCACATGCACCTTAAAATAAGCCGTGTTGGACTGCATCTGCTGCGACCTGTCCTTCTCTGATGGCTCACCACAGAACACCAGCTACAAGACCAGGAAAGAAAAAGAATTATTGATGCTGCAGTAAACTGAAAAGAGAGACATGAGAAGATAAATATCAACCTAACAAATTAATGTCTTCATACTTATGTACCTTTTTTCTGGCTATGCTTTTCGCAAGGTGTCATGCAGAATACAGGTTTTTGTTTCTGTGTAGACATGATGATGCCAAACTGGACAATGTCACTGTGTCAGGGACAGTAAAGGAAGCTGCACACCATCACTGAGAGACTTTGGGTGTTTCTCAAAGTCAAGGATCCTTCCTTGGGAATACAGGTCCTCCCAAAAAAGGAACCTGCAGAGGCAAGGCAAGATTCCTTCCTAGTATTCAGTGAACACACACTGGAACAGGCTAACAAGTGTCCCCAGGTGTACGTCATCAACCCTCAGCAGACTGGGGGGGGGGTTTCAGGGTTCTGTGATCATTTTGACACACTCTAATGTTGTTGTACAACGTGACTTTCAGGGAGAATATATTTCTGGACTACTGAAGAGTAAGTGGAGTAATGAAGTAAAAACAGCAGCTGAAATAAAATTATAAATTATCATTGGCAGTATGAACACAGACTCACACACAGAATCATTCTGTCATTTCAAAGTGATCCATATTTTCTGTGTGTGTCACCACACACTGCTACAATAATATGAACAGATCTGATGTGATGAGCTGCGCTGCTCTCAAACAACGGGCCGCGCCAATACATTATACTGCTGGGTAATCCTCTGAAATATGATAACCTCAAAACAAATGAGGGATGCTTTCACCTGCAGGGTATTCTAATGTATTTACTGTGGCCGTTCTCACCGCGATTCCCCTGAAAAATACACCAAATCAAACCAAAAGAATGAAAGCAATTATTATGCCGTTATCATGTGTCTTTATCGTTATTATGTTTTATCTAAATCACGTTATTTTAAAAATCACATTTGGCAGTGGACATGCTGGAAAGTGTAAATTATGAAGTGTCTGTCAATATTTTTTTCACGTTTGTATGATAAGAAACTCCTGGAGACATTAAGCCAAACAAATGACATATTTATCTAAATCCTGCCGAGCTCCGCTGGCGCAGGTTTCATTGAAGAGGCCACACCTTCACTTGTAGCAAATTGTGTGCAAAGCATTGTGGGGAATTAATACTCGCTGAGGATCCACACATGCATCCTTGGAATTTCTCTGAAAAAAAGGACTCTGTCCTCCGTGAAATCCAAAAGGATCCTTGACATTGGAACAGTCCTTCGGCGGGGGTCGATGACGTTGTATCCTAGTGGTTTAAGGATCCTTCCATGACTTTGAGAAACACCCCCTGAAAGACTGACTGGTTCATTCTGTTACTAGAAAACCAGCTAACACTGTGTCTGTGCTGTCTTCTTGATGATGAAGAAGAAAAAGAAGAGGAGGAAGAAGAAGATAGATTTTTTTTTTTTGTCTTTGCTCTCTTTGGGCCCCATCCTACACCTGGCACAAAGCTGTGCACAGCGCAGCGCAACTGTCACTGCTAATTTCAGTCAGACAGAATTGTGGGCCTTTCCCAAACCGAACCCTACCCACTTCCTTCCTTCACGGCTGAATGAAGCTCCCTTCATTAAGGTGTAAGGTATAAATACAGCTTTGGGACAAACTTCACTCTCTGTGGCGGATAAAAGAACTGTCAGAATTTTTCATTACCATGGAGAAAAATAAAGCTTACTCCCATGTATGTTCTTGATATGTATTTGGATCACTTATATTTGATCTGTAGGTTTGTGCTGCTATTTACCTGAATTTTTGCATGTCATTAAAATAAATTAAAAAAAAAAATCTATCAAAGGCTAATACAAAAATAAGTAGGCTGAGTAAATAAATAAACAATTAAAGAAATAAATGACATACATAAATGGAAATAAATCTTATTCTCAAGTTTCTTTGGTGGAATTTCTTTTCTTTTCTTTTGTAAACATCTTGTTTTTCACTCTGATATGTTTATAAGCTGCTTGGTTTTTAGAAAGGTTCCTGTAACACTTTACAATAAAAAACCCCACAACTATCATTTCCTAGAGGCCAGAGAAGGATTTATTTGATCCTAAATACAATCTATCATTTAAGATGTTAACATCTGTATGAAAATATTTCACATCTCAGTTGAGCCGCTAAAGGAGTCTAAGGGTAGCCGCATGGAACTTCAGTTATACATCGGCAGTGCACACTCCGGTTGTTCCACACTCAGGAACGTGCGGATCGGTTGTGGGTGGTTGAAAAAATACCATTAATGACATTCTGTAAAACGCGAATGTAGCAGAGAGCAGAGCAGAGCCGAGCTGCTTTCCAACTTCAAATTAAGAGAGATGCTATGCTCATTTATGCACAAGGAGCAGTATAAATTTACTGATTATTTCAAAAGCTAAAAGTTCTTCTTCTACATACTCTTAGCAAAAAACCATTTGCTTCTTCAATTAGCCAAATCCACCATGTAAAAAGCGGTTCGATTAAAGGGAATGAGCAATGACATTCATATTGATTTGATTCGTGTTGCGCCTGAAACACACCTATGATTAATTAAATACAACCCCTTTGCTCCAACTCACAAAAGTGGAGTTGGAAACACCCTAAATGCACTTGCTCCATACACTATAGATCATTTAAAGAGGGCCCACTGAAGACACAGTGGTGTTGAATATTAGTCTATTTGCACTATAAAGGTTGTAAATTGATCCATGTGCTGCAGTCCTTTCTGTTCCCTTGTAAATTCTCCGTCCCTAAAGGCACCTGATTTAGCCTCATGCTGTTGGCAGATGTGCGGGGAACCTTGTTTCACTGCGCCTGACTCATAAAAAAACACTTCCCCCTAAATCCATAACTGTTACATTTCTCTTTGGGTACACATTAAATTGTCAGATAACACATGTTCATCAGTGAGCTTCAGAGTTTTTGGTTGGTGTTTTTTTGAATCTTGAACAGAGTTTGTTAAGCTAGGCTACCCACACCCTCACTTTGTGCTTGACATGTGCCTGGTATACATGTGAACATCCAACTCTGAGGAATAAAGAGTGTAAAAACTATTCCTTTAGCTTGACCATGTAGCATACCTGTGTAAGATTAGCCAGCTTCTGCAGTCCACTTGTGTTCAGGAATATTCCTTGCTCTGATGACAAACAATGTCACAAAACTCATTTATTGCTTATACAAATTACCACACATATCATTTAGCATTGTAACAGTATGATGTAGCCTGCAGACAGTGTTGTCTACTACACTCCTACTTATATGTAGGTGTAAAGGGAAATGAGACTATCTGCAAAATATACATCAGATGGTGGACAGCAGAAAATGTCACGTAAATCAAATGACATGTTATATAAACAAAAAGACCATGACATTAAAGCATACTGACGTCCTGCTAAGTATCCAGTGATCTGCTCCAGAGCTTCACAGACTGCCGTCTTGCTGTTGTAAGTCAGGTGGGCTCTCTCTAACAGCTCATAGATAAAACTGAGACAGACACAAAACACTTCATTTCAAAATCCATATTCAACCAACTTTCTTTGGGAAGTGAGATAACAGAAGCCATAAACATATTACTTAATCTAGCTATAACATTTCTTATTTTTCTAGTGGGGAAACGTGAAATAGTCTTTCTTACTGAATTTTATGCTCTATTTTACATCCTAATCTTTCATGACTTTCTGTTTATGGTTCAGTACAAAGAATGTATAAGAGGCAGGTGGCACCGTGAGGGCAGAGAATCTAACCAGCAAATGTTAACACTGTTACAGAAGAAGTGTATGAGCCTGTTCACACCTAATATTATCATACATCTTTGGTGATGCAAATACAAGTTGCCAGACCTAAGTCTGCCTGTTCACACCTGGCATTAGAATGCATCTCCAGTAACCTCTTGTGATAGGGACCTCACTTACCCGCTCTATATGCAAACAAACACGCAAGACTACTGCTGCAGGAGTGTGAGCGCCAAATCAGGGACAGTTGGTGAGTGTCTGTCTATACACACACAGTGACAAGGCTAACTGTTAGCATGATACAGCTAACTTTATCTAATGGTTATCAACAAGTAGAACCATTTTGGCGTTGGTGTGAGTTTGATGGGACCGTTTAACAGCCGCTGCTGCTGTGTTAGCTCATGCTAACCACGCAGAAATGGAACTGATGGTAGGAGAGGGGCTGTGGAGACAATCCCTCTGTGCTGTGTCTAACCCGTGTAATGGCAGCAACAGAAAGTTTACTTAAGTCATATAAGCTAGGATATCAGCTGAATAGGCAACCCTTCAATGTGGTCCAGAACACATGAGCATACACACTGCTGAAAGAATGTGGCCACATGTGTCCTAGACAACCTCAGAATGTGGTCTGAGCAATCAGATCTCAAGATGCATTGGGTGCATTCACACCTGTACTATAGCCTCTTACAGACTGTGAGATTTTAGTAATCTTATAAGTTTAGTGCAAGCTACACTGTGCATTATAAACTTGGGTAAGACATCAAGTTTGATGTATGAAGACAGTGCCTACTGGATCGAAGGCTGCAACGCACAATGCAATAGCTTGCCATACTGAGCGTGCAAGGATGCTGCACAGGTTATTACTTCTCCAACTGTGAGGCACAACATAGAGGATCACATTATTAAATAACCTAAAGTTGTGTAGGCATGGTACACTGCAGTGTGTCTGTGTTTGCTAGCTGCTAGGATTCTCACTTGGCAGCCGCAACTCTGCTGCTATTTCCTTCAATGCTTCCTCCTTCTTTACACGATCATGGTAAGAGCTAAAGGGCACATCATGCAGGCGAGGCCTCTGCTGCCACAGCTCCACAAGGTTTTCCTTGCTGCTGGATTCCCACACATCTCTTTTGAGCTGCTATCCGTCAGTTTGCTTGGGTTTAGTGCCATTGTGTCATGCTGCATTTCTTTCGGTTGGTTAGAAGTAGGGCTGCACGGTATATGCGGTAGACGGTAGAAATGATATAAATTTGGCCCACGGTAGAGATTTGCGCTCTACCGTCCTATCGTCGATGACGTCATCGCACCTACCTCAGTGTGAAAATGGCTGCGAGCACAGAGACAGCGGAGCAAGAGGAGCTGGTTCACCTCCGTGATTTAGCATAGCACGTGCAACATGTGTTGCTGGAGAACTTGTGAGTGAGTGAGTTAATGTTTTATGAACAGCCCCGGACTTCTCAGACTCTTTTAGTGACTTACCGCTCAGAGGGAACTCATTCAGTGTCTCCTCGGGCAGCAGCACAGCGTCTCTCCCTCTCCTCTCTCGCCGTGTGCACACGGGAGTTGGTTTTCGGCAAGAGAGTTTGTCATAAACCTTTGGTAATGTAAACCTATGTGACGCTAGGGGCTCCACAAAAAACTCCATATGTGAATGTTTGATAGTTGTGGTATCATAGCAGCCTGTCACAGGTTACAGCCTGATGATTAGAGGAGAAATGGCAGAGCATAAATGTCCAGGTGGAAAAAACACAACTCAGTCATTTAGGATTTTGCTAAAAGAAGGAAATTACCTTTTGATATAGATCCCAGGGGACATTTTGCACCATAGAGTACTGGGTTTTAATTTTGAGTTTTGAGATCTGCATTCTGCACAATAAATGCTCTAAAAAATACATTATATCTTTGCTTTTGTTGTTGTTTTTTTTATCAATTTAGCTTTGCTAAGGGACTACAAAACCCATTCAGAAACACTTCTATTATAACTTTTACACTTAAATTTATACCGCGATATATACCGTTACCGTGAAGGGATTCGATTTTTACCGTGATATGAATTTTAGGTCATACCGCCCAGCCCTAGTTAGAAGATGTAGGTGGTAACAGTAGTCACAGCGTGAGATGGTCATCCCAAATGTCTGACATTTTCTGCATTTTATCCCAGGCTGACTTTTATCGCAAGACCATGACAACGGCCATCCTAAAACCTCTCACTATGCAACGTAGGACCACTGTTTTGAAACCACGACCAAAGCTAATGCCATGTTTCTTTCATGTTGGTCATCTTTTGTCTGGAACAGCCCAGAATCGCACAATGTATACTGAGCTTTAAAGCTGGACACTGACACGTAAATAGCTCTGCGTTGAATCGACGCTTAGGTTATGACATAGGCTCCACGTCGATTTGGAGCCTACGTCGTAACCTACGCCGTAGCCTAACGTGCACCTCCCTAGAAATGTAACTACACGTCGCAGTGATGCAGACCTCGTCTGTCGCTGTATATAGACACCATTTCCCTCAGGGGAAACAGAGCTTGTATTAACTTTTAGTTCACAGATAAGAAACAATAAATTGTGAAGACAGTAAGGCCTCCGCTAAAATAACATTTAAGTCTTGTGTGTGATTTATCCTTCAGGGATTTATATTTCAGGATTCATCCAGGTTTCATATGAGAAGAGGAAAAGATCGCTAGTTGCTAGGCTAATTTATACAATGTAAAATACCATAGGCCTGTGCTAATAACATTAGCATGTTATATGTGTGGGGAAAATGTGTCCGGATTAACACAAGTGTTTGTCTGTGAATGCTGTGAGTTGTAGTGAAGCCAATTGGTATACTTGTTTTTCAAATTGTCTCTATTAAACCATATTTAATGTGTGTTTTGGGTGTGTTTTGAATCAACTAAACTTTACAGCACTTCACAGAAACCTCTGCCGCCAACTAGTGTTGTGGAGGTGTAACTGCAGAGTGACACAGACACACCACCGCACAAGTTAAAATGCTCACAACGGCATAGACGTAGGGTCTCCGCACAACCATAAATCCCCTTTTATAATCCCATCACCCAAGATGAATCTTAATTACAGGTGTAAACAGGGCTTAGACAGAAGGACAGATCCACTGACACGGCTGTACTTGAAGCTGTTGGTAGGGCAAAAACATTGCAATCTGCTTACTATCTACTAGAACATTTTCACGTACATTCCAGGTTTAGTGATGCCCTTTTCACTTGGAACATCATAGGAATCGATGGCAGCTTCCAGATCCAGCAGTATCTCTGTCAAACAGACAAAAGCAATTTGTAAAAATCCCACAGAGCACTGACTAACAGCCAAATATAGCTAATGAGATAAGTGCTCCAATAAGGTATATTTATCTTCTGTATAGCTTAAAGAATACTTACGTTTGATTTTAGCAATTGTGGCCACATTTAAACCTGAAACAAAAAAAACGTATTACCCGCTGTCATTTAAGTACATGTACTGCAAGGGCAGATTTGCTGATAACATTCAAAGACATTCCAAATTTCCTTGTTCATCAAATGCCAGAAATCCTTCCCCCTGTTTATGCACCCTCAGCTGTTGAGACAAATAAGCATTCTGACCTGAGTTGAGGGATTCTACATTCAAGTCTTCATTGATAGAGTCTCCATGAATGGCTCCTTTAGTCTGCTCCACCAGCAACCTGTCCACAGCATTAATGGCTGAGGCTAGGTCGTAGGGAGTTAGGTCAAATGATGTTGATTCTTCACATGTCTTCTCCTGCAGACAACAGAAACATCATCTGGTGGGATATTCTGCCCTCTACAAGAACATTGCCACTACAGGCAGGACCACAGTCATGTCCATCTTCATGATCCTGAATCTCTAGTCCCATATGAGCACACATATGCGCACAATATGATTTGATTTTTATGGTTTGTCAAACCATAAATAGTAAATACAAAGCACCTCATGAATGTTGATAAGCCTGCTGATCAATGATTTTTTACTGTGAATCATAGCAATGGCCGAGTGTCATCGCAGTATTTTTATGTTTACAGCATCAAGCTGATTTCTTCACACCTTACTGAAGTGATCAATCCAATCAGTGGTATCCACCACCATGGGATATCATTTAAAAATGGAAGTACGGTAGGAGAACACTATTTATTTTTTTATTTTAGTGCTGCACGATTTGATAAAAAGGTGTGATTTTAGTGGACAATATTGTAATTTGTGATTGCTTAATTATCAAGGAAAATGCAGAGAATAATGATAGTTTTGGAGTGTTTATTTCCCAACCAGAACATACAAATATTTAGCAGCATAAAATTACAAAACGGCGGCACGGTGGTATGGTGGTTAGCACTGTCGCCTCACAGCAAGAGGTGTTCCCAGGTGTGGGAGCCCTTCTGTGCGGAGTTTGCATGTTCTCCCCGTGTCAGCGTGGGTTCTCTCCGGGCACTCCGGCTTCCTCCCACAGTCCAAAGACATGCAGATTGGGGATTAGGTTAATTGGTAACTCTAAATTGTCTGTAGGTGTGAATGTGAGCGTGAATGGTTGTCTGTCTCTATGTGTCAGCCCTGCAATAGTCTGGCGACCTGTCCAGGGTGTACCCTGCCTCTCGTCCGATGTCAGCTGGGATAGGCTCCAGCCCCCCCGCGACCCTCAAGAGGATGAAGTGATTAGAAGATGAATGAATGAATAAATGAAATTACAAAACCGCAATTTTTTTACAGTACTGTTCTCCAAATAATATTTTCTAATAAATAAAAGTTCTTTCTTTTTTTGAAAATAAAGGTATTTCGGCTAAGTGGAAATATTGACATTATTGTAAACTTAAAGGCCTTTCTGCAGGCATTTTGTAAACTGTAACTGTTTAAGTAGTACTTAATACAAAAACGAAAAAGATTGTACAGCACTGTAAAAAAGAATAAAGACATTTCTACAATGTACAGAGGCAGTTAACAGCTTTTCTGTAGGCATTTTGGTAAATCTTTCAAGTATTATTATCTAATAAAAAAAAGTGCAGTAAACAAATAAAGGCATTTCTTTAAAGTGCAAACAGAGACAGTGCCCGTCTCTCAATACAACAAAGGCAGTCCTTTAAAGTGCAACTGGCTGTGGCACTTTGTTACAACTTGAAGGCCTTTCTGGAGACATTTCTCTAAACATTAAGTACAACTACAACAACAAGTAAGAGAATACAAAATATTCATTAAATAAGACATTCTGAATGCTCAAAAAAGGACATTTGAGAGGGGTTTAACATAAAAATCAGTGGTTAACTACTAAAACGGGGTATACTTTTTTGTAGCCTACTACAACTTCCTCTAAAGATTACACTGGATATAAAATAAAATGGATGCTTTGGGTAGTTCAGTCAATCACACCCAAACCAATAAAAATGTTACCACTGTACTTTCTTATTATCAAATAGTACTTCCATATCCTCTTTCTAAAAGGTTCCAGCTACCACCACTTCTGAGGTTCTTTGATCAAAAAACCAACATGTCCACCTTGTCTGGTTTCAGACAGGATCGATGGGCTGATACAACATTACCGCTCATGCTAAAAGCTCTTTCTGACGCAGAGCTTGTTGCTTGTATGCATAGATATTTCTGAGCTAGTCTGGACAACAGAGGGAAATTTATTTTGTGGCACTTCCACCATTTCAACGGATCTTCCTCATGGCCAACAGGGCATGTAAGTGTATGTATTGAGTTCAGTAGCCACTTCTTCACTACACTGTGCCATGGGATCAAAGGTGGTTGATGCTGATGCTGTTGTTGGCGTGTGCATGCTGTTCTGGAAGAAACTGGCTAAAGTTTTCTTCTTGGCTTTAGCTGTAGGTGGACTGTCCACATCCAAGCTATCCTCCTCCATTGCTATGGTGTGCTGCACTTCAGGCTGCTGCTGAACTGCCATCACCTGTAATATTTACAAAAAGAATAACTGAATTTATATAACACCATTTAAAATACATCAAAATCTCTAGGAGCTTTGCAGAAAAGAGTTTAACAGTCACACTACATGATAGAACTGGTCAATATACTCAAAAAAAGAAAAAAAAAATTATGCCAGCATAAGAGAAAATAATAACTGATCACCTCAGAGATCACTCGTTCCTTTATGGTCCTCGTCTCTTCTGTACACATGTATTTTGTTCGGAACCTGGGGTCAAGGAATGTTGTGATGTTCAGCAGGTCCTGTGTGGCTTGATATTTTTCATTGAGGTAGCTGAGGATTTTTGCTTTCAGTGATTTGGTCAGGTCACTGTCCTCTGCCTCTTCAGCCAGTACTGAGGTGTTCAGAAGATGGAGAACAGGTTTCAGGTATGATATGCTTACGTACTGTTCAGCTGACAAAGCATTGGTGAAGTCTTGGAGTGGGCTGAGAGCCTTGTTTAAAGATTCCAGGTCGTCCAGGTCTTGCCATGAGGGCAGTAGCTGTCGCGTTTTGCGGTCTGTAGAGAGAACCTTGGTCAAAGCACGTTGTTGTTCCAGGACTCTTGCTATCATTAGGCCCGTTTCCACTGAAGAAGTTCCTGGTACTATTTGGGGGGCAGGAACTACTACAGGAACGTCCTCTCGTTGGGCCCTCTCAACCGCCGTGTCTCCACTAAGCGGAGTACGAGGAAGGTTCCTGTAAAGTTACGGGCTGCCTCTGGATGTGACGTAATCGTTGCGCAACCATTTTGACCGGGGCGACATAGGGACGCCGTTAGCTGATAGCGGCGTCTGTAATAACTCACTAAATGACCTGTGAAAAAAATATTTTTTCCAGCGGATGTCTTAGTTACAACATGATTGAGCTAACTGGGGTAGTTTCATGTCGTATCCGACAACGGGAGGCTTTTAACAGATGACGTCCTGATGTTAGCTTTGCTGCTGCTGTTAGCTGATGCTTTCTAGACTTCGTGATTTCCCAAAACTCAATAAATACCACACATAAACACAAAACTGCTTTGCTAGCTCAATCATGTTATAACTAAGTTATCCGCTGGAAAGAATATTTTTTTCACGGACCGTTTAGTGAGTTTTTTTTTTTACATGGCGGCGAAAGCTATATGAACGAGCTAATCCTCGTCTGCTGAGTTTTAAAAATGCCGGCTATTTTGTTATTTTGCTTTCTGTTGACGTCACATCCCTCCTTGAGTATATCCAATCAGCACCAAGTAACCCCCAAACCCCAGCCAGGATTCTTTCTGGGCCGTTCTGAGTACCTACTCCGAGGCAGGGACTTGTTTAGTCCCCGTAAAAGTTCCGGAACTCTGTCCTTCAGGGGTGGCTCCTGCGGTGGAGACACGCATCAACGGCCCCGGCCCCGTAAAATTACCCCGAAGTTCCTGTGGTGGAAACGGGCCTATTTTCTGTGTGGATCCCCATAGTGTCTGGCAGTCTGTCATCATGGCATGTTGTGGAAGGCTGAGCTCCCTCTGTGCCTCCCTCAAGGCTTCTCTTTTCTTCCAGCTGTGAGAGAAGCGGCCCACAAGCTTCCTGCATATCCCAATAGCCCTGTTGCCGTGAGCTTCACCTTTCACAGCATTTTCTGTGAAAGAGAGGAGTGAAAAAGACACCCATGAAGTTTTCTTATCCTCTACATATTTCAAAAAACATGTTGTATTATCTGAAACAACTTAGAGGCTTATACAGTCATAAAGGTTGTTGTATTTAAATCAGTGTGTTAGTTTGTGTGTACAGTATAAAACAGCCTCTGTCAGATATGTTTGTGATTTTTGTAAAAGTTTGTCTTAAATAATTTGACTTTCAGAAAGTAGAGAGCACAGGGATCATTTTTTAAATGTTTGCTTTTCTATACCTGAAATATTTTAGTTTTATTTCATTTCGCTTTATGTTTTAATTTTTTTTGTCCAGTCTAACAGTTTGAATTTGGGAGCAATCTTAACCCAACAGAATTTTGGTTCATTTTGTATAAAAAAAAAAAATTAATAATTTTTTTTTTTTAGGAACACATTAACACAAATAGCAAACACATTTAAAGAAAGAGAATTACTGGTGGCCAAAGAGCTGTTTGAGACTATGGAGGCTTGATAATGCAGTTTCAATTTGGTCAAATAATACTAGTTATAACAACATACAGATAAAAAATAGAAACAGCAAACATGGCAGATAAGCAAAGTAATGTAAAATAATTAACTCACCAATTGAAAGATGAAGCCTATGGCAGTGGACTCTTTGCCAGTTATTAAGCTGCACCGCCTTGATGATATTAGTAGCGTTGTCTGGTCCTGCTTGACCATAGGTCTGGTTGCGTAGAACTTCACTGTAGCCATTTCTACTTGAACTTTACTACGGCGTTGGTTGTAGAGCTTGGGGATAGCAACATTCAATTCAATTCAATTTTATTTATAAAGCCCAATATCACAAATCACAATTTGCCTCACAGGGCTTTACAGCATACAACATCCCTCTGTCCTTAGGACCCTCACAGCGGATAAGGAAAAACTCTGCAAAAAAAAAAAAACAAAACCCTTAAACGGGGGGAAAAAAACAGTAGAAACCTCAGGAAGAGCAACTGAGGAGGGATCCCTCTTCCAGGACGGACAGACGTACAATAGATGTCGTACAACATGAGAGAAAAAGTTCCGCGAGGGTAGCTGATACCTTCTGCAGGGGTTAGAGCAAGAAAAAATGTTGTGCCTGAAATGTGGAGCACGAAAGATTTGTGTGCCTGAAATCTGAAATCTTTTCCGGAGCGGGGGGCTTGGTGTTGCAGTCACAAAATGAAGAAATAGAAATGTATGTGTTGCAAAGGAATGTGTTTATTATCAAAACGAACAAAAGATTACAGCTTTAGTAGTTACTTTACAGATTAAACTTTTATAGCATAATGAGTTTATAAATAAAGATTAAACTTTCAGTGGTTACCAGACTTTTTGACTTATAGCTCCTACAGAGCACTTCTGCCTGTGCTGGACAGAAACTTCGCCACGCCGGAAATCCAGCGCTGTGCTGGAGAACTTTAACTCCTGCTTCTGTCCAGTGTGCGGACCATTTTCCGAAACCCCTCCTTGTTAACTGTGTATATCGGCACCATGTCTTGTGTCAAATAGTTTGTAATAAGAGTCTGTGATTTCCCTCTGTCTCTTCAAGGTCTTTTCATATGGTGTGACACTTGCAAATATATTCTTAATTGTGCTTTGTTGTTTCATGAGGAGGCTTTCAGATGTAATGTCATCTTTGTCTTTAGCGTTTCCTGGCTTGGCTTTCTCTTGCATGCACTCTTCATACTTTTCTTTGTACTGTCTCAAATGTTGATACAGATTGTTAGTGTTGCCACAGGACGTGGTGACTTTGCCGTTGCAAGTTCTACATAGCACGTCTTTTTGTTCAGTGTCGCCATACCTGAAGCCAAAGTATCGCCATATAATTGACATGGTGCTTTTTTTTCACCACCAACTCTGATTCTTCTTGGTCGTGGACATTTTCTTCCTCGGCGTCCATCTTGGTCAGTGCTGCACGCTGGGTAGTCACGTGACCATATGTGCCGCACACACCAGGATAGCTTGTGGCCGTGATGTCAACAAACTCCACACACTGTTGGAGAGGCAATCATGTTCACAGGCACACACGTTAACATTTATTTACATTAAATCGCAAATCGCAGCTTTTTATGCGGTTGTGTAATCGCACAGCCTGACATCGCGATTGCGATTAGATTAATCGTGCAGCACTAATTTATTTCAGGGCTTCCATCATATTAATTTATTTGAGGCAGGCAACCATGATGTTTGATTTTCTATTTTTGGTACTGAACCTTTTATTGGGTGCAGCGATGGAATATACAGTATCTCACATAAGTGAGTACACCCATCCCATTTTTGGAAATATTTCATTATATCTTGTCATGGGACAACACTATAGAAATGACACTTCGATATAACTTAAAGTAGTCAGTGTACAGCTTGTATAGTAGTATAGATTTACCTTCCTCTGAAAATTACTCAAAATACAGCCATCAACATCTAAACAGCTGGCAACATAAGTGAGTACACCCCACAGTGAACATGTCCAAATTGTGCCTACAGTGTCAATATTTTGTGTGCCAACCATTATCATCTAGCACTGCCTTAACCCTTTTGGGCATGGAATTCACCAGAGCTCACAGGTTGCTTCAAGAATCCTCTCCCACTCCTCCATGATGACATCATGGAGCAGATGGATGTGAAGACACCTTGCGCTACCCCACCTTCAGCTTGAGGATGCCCCACAGGTGCACAGGTGAGTTTAGGGCTGGATACATACATACATATCAAAGTGTCATTTCTATAGTGTTGTCCCATGAAAAGATATAATGAAATATTTGCAAAAATGGGAGGGGTGTACTCACTTATGAGAGATACTGTAAATACCGTTTGGTACTCTAATGGACGGAGGGCACATTTGGAGCTGCAGAACGCCAGCTGCAGTGAAAGTAAAACTTAACCTTCAGTTTGCTGGGTCTAAAGTTTGCTTTCACTCACAAACAGCTGCTCCTTTCATTCATCAGTCTAATCAGATCGACTGATCAATTATCCATCCCACAACTCAAAACTCTACAAACCGCTGCTGCAGGAATTTTAAGTTACTGTGCCCTGGTCTTGCATCAGTTAAGTAGCACTTAGAGTTTACATCCAAGTCTGTGAAAACATAGATGCTTCATAAACATCTTTCCCCCCGCAGCACAGAATATCGATACAATCAGCACGGTTTCAAAGTGGAAAACCAAGATTAATGTCACTGATTCAGTGTCTGACCAAATGTCTCCCCTTCTGTTCCTGTGATATGATGTTGAATAATAGCGAGAGAAGTGTTTTATGCAGAAAATAATGATGTCACAGTGAAGCTGACCTTTTGGCTATAAAATGGCATCACTTATTATATTCTGACCACTGAAATATATTTAGGGCATTCTTGAGATTTTGCATTCATAAGAATGGGATGGATGTACAGTTAGGTCCATAATTATTTGGACAATGATACAGTTGTCATCATTTTGGCTCTGTACACCACCACAATGGGTTTTAAATGAAACAATGAATACCTGCTTAAAGTGCAGACTCTCAGCTTTCATTTAAGGCTTTTTTCAAAAATGTAGTATGAACCGTGTAGGAATGACAACCATTTCTTCACACAGTCCCCCAGCTTTAAGGGCTCATAAGTATTTGGACAAACTAACATAATCATCAATTAAACAGTCAGTTTTAATACTTGGTTGCAAATCCTTTACAGTCAATGACTGCCTGAAGTGTTGGACACATAGGTATCATCAGATGCTGGGTTTCTTCCCTGGTGATGCTCTGCCAGCCCTTTACTGCAGCCGTCTGCACTTCCTGCTTGTGTTTTGGGTGTTTTGCCCTCAGTTTTGGCTTCAGCAAGAGAAACGCATGCTCAATTGGATTCAGGTCAGATGATATGACTTGACCATTGCAGAACATTCCACTTCTTTGTCTTAAAAATGTCTTTGGTTGCTTTTGCAATATGCTTCAGGTCATTGTCCAACTGCACTGTGAAGCATCGTCCAATGAGTTTTGAAGCATTTGGTTGAATCTGAGCAGATAATGTAGCCCCAAACACTTAAGCTTTCATCCTGCTGCTCTTGTCAGCAGTCACATCATCAATAAATAAAAGAGAACCAGTTCCACTGGCAGCCGTACATGGCCATGACATAACAGTACCTCCACCATGCTTCACTGATGAGGTGGTGTGCTTTGGATCATGAGCAGTTCCTTCCCTTCTTCCTTCTCTTGTCTTCCCATCATTCTAGTAGTTGATCTTTGTTTTATCTGTCCATATAGTGCTGTTCCACAACTGTACAGGCTTTTTAGATGGTTTTTGACAAACTCTAATCTGGCCTTCCATTTTTAAGGCTAACCAATGGTTTGCATCTTGTGATAAACCCTCTGTATTTATTCTAGTGAAGTCTTGTCTTGCTTACAAGAGCAGCAGGATGAAAGCTGAAGTGTTTGGGGCTACATTATCTGTTCAGATTCAACTAAATGCTTCAAAACTCATTGGACGATGCTTCACAGTGCAGTTGGACAATGACCTGAAGCATATTGCAAAAGCAACCAAGGACGTTTTTAAGGCAAAGAAGTGGAATGTTCTGCAATGGTCAAGTCATATCATCTGACCTGAATCCAAGTGAGCATGCGTTTCTCTTGCTGAAGCCAAAACTGAGGGCAAAACACCCAAAACACAAGCAGGAAGTGCAGACGGCTACAGTAAAGGGCTGGCAGAGCATCACAAGGGAAGAAACCCAGCATCTGATGATGCCTATGTGTCCAACACTTCAGGCAGTCATTGACTGTAAAGGATTTGCAACCAAGTATTAAAACTGACTGTTTAATTGATGATTATGTTAGTTTGTCCAAATACTTATGAGCCCTTAAAGTAGGGGGACTGTGTGAAGAAATGGTTGTAATTCCTACACGGTTCATACTACATTTTTGAAAAAAGACTTAAATGAAAGCTGAGAGTCTGCACTTTAAGCAGGTATTCATTGTTTCATTTAAAACCCATTGTGGTGGTGTACAGAGCCAAAATGATGACAACTGTATCACTGTCCAAATAATTATGGACCTGACTGTACATACATACGAATGTATGGACCACCATATGGACATATGGGCAGACAACCCAAAAACATAATGCCTCCGGCAACAGCTGTCACTGGCGGGGAGGCATAAAAACAGGGATTCCACCTGCGCTGTATTTACTGACCTGCTCCACCCATAGATTGCAATTATGTGGGAAACACTGTATTTATTTAAGTTTTGTTGTGGTGAAATTGGCCTGCATTATGATTAGGACTAATGAGGATATCAAGTTTATAAACTGTCTGAGAGGTGTCACTGGCTTTATTTCAAGACTTTGCTAATTTACACAGTCTTCATGTGTAGATGGTGAAGATGTGCCAGGTGAACTGACTGCTCAAGATAGAGTATGAGTGGCAGCACCATGGTGTCTCCGGTGACAACAAAGTCGTGTTGATTGCAACAATATTACACCGAAAAACTATATGAAAACTAAAATCATACTTGGCAATACATGCCCAGTATCAGAAGATAATATCAAAAACTACCGTTGCTGTGTTCTGCAATTCTTTAATGCTGTATGATGTGTGCAATTCAACAGCTGTGGTGCACTCCACAGTTGACCACCAGTGTCAGCAGCACACAGTCTCTCCCTCTGTGCTCTGGGGGTGGGAATGCGATAGTGAGACAGAGCTGATGAAATATATAACAGAATTTAATGTGAGATTTGAGTTTGTATATAATTTTTTACAATCAAAGGTGATTATGGAAAAGTTATGGCTCACTAGCACATGTACAAATAACACTTCTAGTGTGAATGTTTCTGATGAATTGGATCTAAAAGTAACAATTGAAATTTAATTTTTTAAATTTAAGATAAAAAATATGCGTCGCCAATTTCTCCCGTCTTCAAAATGTTCATACACATGGGTCAGAGCTTCCCTACAGGTGCTCACATTCTCCCATCAAGTTTGTTTTGAAGAACACAACTTTTGTGTGGGAAGGCCCTGTTTTGTGCAAACACAATGGCTATAAATGAGACTCTATGCTTGTGGAGGTGAGAAAGTATGCAGGGCTTGAATTTGTCCTTCAGCTCTCCTTCCCCCCCCAATTCTTCTCACAACTTGTGTCACCTTCCGTGTGCACAGCTGTGCTGAGCGCAAGAATGTCTTTAGGACTGTCTGAAAGTTTGTGCTGTTTTTCTATTTGTAGGATTAATCACGCTGCAAGTACAAAGACATGTTAAGGATCCAGTGTGTAGGATTTAGGGCGCTATATTTGCAGACATGAAATATAATATTCATAACTATGTTTTCTTTAATGTAAAATCACCTGAAACTAATAATTATTGTGTTTTCATTATTACAGAATGAGCTGTATACATCTACATGTGGAGTGGGTCCTCTCTCCCACAGAGTCAGCCATGTTGTTTCTACAGTAGCCCAGAATGGACAATCAAACACAGACTCTAGATAAGGCCATTTATGTTTTCATGTTAGCCACAATAGTTCTCCTACATGCTTAGCACACAGGAACGTTTCAGTTGGCTGCAATCTGCAATCGCACTGGTAGATGCCTCTAAATCCTACACACTAGACCTTTAAAGCTGTCAAAACAACTATTTAATTTGATTCAGTTCAATAACACTATTTATCCTGAAGGAAAATTCTTGTGCCAGTTAATGCTTCAAATTACAGCAACACTACATAGAGTAACCACAATTTAACTTGCATCAACCAGTAACAACTAGAACAACCAGTGGGTTCCCTAGGTCAGGGTCACTCACTGGGCCTAGTTTTAGAAACAATAGAGTATTAAATATGTGAGTATTAAATATCAGCGTAAAAACTATGTCCATGACAGAGTCTTACCACATTGTGAGCTTCATCAAAGATGACCACAGCTCTGTTTAGCTCAATATTGTGCGCTCTGCGGCTCTGTGGAACAAAGGGAAAGAACAAAATACCAGAATTTATTTGGATATGTAATATGAGGGCAAATTCTCTCCCTCTCTCTCTCTTCATTTAAATCAAAAACAGAGCACTGCTTTCACTTCTATTTTGTGCTAAATTCCTGCTAATGTTCTAATCTTTGGATCGAAATAATCCTGAAATAAAGGTTCTTCTTCATCCGAATTCAGTGCATCCCCTAGAAGCAAAACATAAATACAATTGTTCCAAAACTTTTACCCAAAACTAAATCAACAGAGCACTACTTTCACTTTTCTTTCACTGGCTGCGGTCGGCTAGATGCCACCGCTACCCGCTTGAGTCCTGATGGCTTGGCTTTTGAACCTACTCCAGAGAAGGAGTAGATGCACAGCTCGGTGTGGCACTGCACGGCTAAACTGATAACAGAAACACAAATCAGCGCAACGTGGCTTGACTGGACGCGGCTAAAAGTTACAGAGGAAAAGGCCCACAGTATTGTACGTGTGTTACTGCAGTACCTTCATTCATCTCACAGACTGATTTAGTGTAGCAGTGGAACATACAGACCAATGTCGCACTGTAGACTAATGAACAGACAGATTAAACAGAGGAGTAGCTCTGTGTCTCTCTTAGTGTTGCATGTGAACTTGGGAGTGAGTGTTAAGGGCGGAGCTGTGCGGATATAAATGATGTTGTCTAAATCTATATCTTGCTTGAAAATATATCGATATATTGTAAAAAATCGATATACCATCCAGTCCTAATATTTCACAGGCTGCCGTTGCAGGGTGCAGGTGCAGCGGACAGATCCCCAGAGTGGGGGCTGGCTGTTAGGTTAGAAAGCGCTTGATCAGAAGTGCAGCAGAGTTTTCTATGAGCAGAGCACAGATTTTAAACATCAATGTCGCAGCTGCAAATGTTCATATAACTGTGGGAAGCCAAAATCATGATTGTGATTACAATTCGATAAACTGTGCAGCTCTATGACATAGGAGTTTTAAATCCACACCAACTCTGACCTGCATTCAGTGTCTCTGTCCACAGAAGCAGCCGTTCAGCAGCAGCTCCTGGACAGCATTCAGCCCATTTTACACACATACGTATTTACAGCTGGCCAAACTGCCTTCACCAGGCTCACTGACAGCAGACATTTACAGTCTTTCATGTCAGCACCAGCGGGAGAAATGGAAGCGATAAAGTGTTTGCATTTATTGATTTAATTTCCCAGCACACCGTAGTGAATGAGAGGGATCTGTCGCTTACAGACAGACTGGGAGCTGATCACTCAATGCAGATTCAGAGTCAGATTATTGCCCAGCCTCAAAGTAATAAAGCAGGAAATAAGCTTTGTCTCTGTGAGTCAGCTCACCTTCGGATCCAGCAGATAGTTGTATGGCATGAAAATGACATCTGCTTGCTGCTTCAAGGAACGGGAGAGGTAGTAAGGACAGACCCTGCAGAAAAAGTTCAACTTTCAATTCAAGTGTACACACTGCATACAAAGACTACGATTCAGTTTACTATCCCTGGAGGGAAACTTTTCTTTGAAGAGGTATTTCACATAGAAGATAGAATAGAATAGATAGAAAGAACTTTATGCATACCTGAAGGCAAATTCAACTGTCCAGCAGCTCATAAAAAAACACAACAACCACACTTCCCCTTATCAACAATAATACAGTGGTATTAAAATAGACATAAAATAAAATAAGTTAAAATATTATCAGTCCAAAGTCGATGTGTGCAGGTGTTTGTGACTGGATTCAGGTGGTGGAAAGAGCTGGGAAAGCTGGAAAGATGGTCTTTTGATAAAAGTGGGCTGTCTATGTAGAATAAAGTAGAAGAAAGTACTTTTGAGGAGTTGCTACATGATCAAAGAAAATGGAGAAAAGGGACTGTGGCATTTGCTTTTGCTCAAGAGGTAGAAAACCTACAACTACCAGAAGGCACTGCAGCACACCAGACTAATAACGATGCGTTCGTTTTGTACACAGAGGTCGGAAGTCGGAAGTGGGAATGACGTCACCTCCGAGTTGACAACAGTTTTTGCATTCTAGTTGACAACGGTGGACAAGTCGGAAAAAAACATGGACGCCCACAAGAAAGCCTTTGTTGCCCTTGCACTTTCGGAGTATAGACAGTTTCAAAACCATCATGCACTCCAACTGATGAAAGCCACAGATGAGGCTGACCTAATGTAAAACAAATAAGATAAAATTGCTATAAACAGTACTTTAGCAGAGTGTTTACTCACTATGTATGTGACCAGCAGCCATCTTGAATTTGTAAGTTGGGGTTGATGCAGTTGCTCCAAGTTTCCGAGTTGGAAATCCGATCTCAGGGTGCATTTGAGTTTAAACTTCCAACTGGGAACTGGGAATTTCCGACCTCCGAGTACAAAACGAACGCACCATTTATGCTCCCACTGGTGGGTGATGTAATGTAGCTCATTTGTTTGACACAATGGCGGCTGGCTGGTATCAAATGATCTTATACTACAGTGTTACTGTAAGCTAAAACATGTTTCTGACAACATTTAAGTAGTGCTGCACAATTTGATAAAAATGTGCAATTGCGATTTGAGTGGATAATATCGTGATTTGTGATTGCGATTACAATGTAATAAAAAAAATGGCATCATTAGTCTTCTTGCTTGATTCAGTGTTCCCCCTACATTATATTAGGAGGGCACTGACCTGACATGACATAGTTATTGTTATGGACAGTGTAAATAACCATGAACAGACTGGGCACAGTCAAACACACTGCTCACACAGCAGTGCAGCACAGCACTGTACACACAGCGGAGCGAGCCTGTGTTGCGTTCAGGCATTGTCACGTAAATGACAAATTCCAGCAAGCCATAGCACAACACAGCAGCATGTCAAGTGGGCCGAAACCGAGCAAAATTGCTCATTTTCTAATTTGTTATTATATAGTTTGTTATGGAGTCTGTGATTTCCCCATGACACTTATAAATGTATGCGTAACTGTGCTCGGATGTTGTTCTATGAGGCTCTGGCAGCTTTCAGTTGTCTCTTCGTCTTTAACGTTACACGGCTTGGCTTTCTCTCGCATGCATTCCTCCTACTTTTCTCTGTGTTGTCTTAAGTGTTGATATAGATTGGTCATGTTGTCGTGGGACGTGGCGACTTTAACTTTTAAACTTCTACACAACATGTCTTTCTGTTAAATGTCACCGTACCTGAATCCAAAGTATCGCCATGTAATAGACGTTGCGTTTTTTTCGCCAACAACTCAGCCTGCTCTTGGTCATGCTTATGCTCTTCTTCAGGCCCTGTTTAGACAACAACGGTTTCTCTAAAAACGGAAAAGTCTGTCCTTTGCCTTTTAAAAAAACTTCTGCATTTATATGACGACGTTATTGAAACAATCCCCGCTCACACGGAGCCGCAAAATCTACTGGAAACGCTGTAGTATGCCAGGCCAATGGGTGGCAGTGTAAATTTGCAAAGCAACACCACGGCATGACGCCATGCACCTGCGCTGAAGCGCCTTCCTCTACAACGCGGTGATTACAAACCAAAACAAAGAAGACACAATGGCGAAAGCATGCACAGATAACTTTGTCTTGTCTTTGGATGGACGACGAGGTGGAGTTGCTACAGTAACAGATCTACACTTCACTTCAAATCAACAGGGTGAGCAGCACAAACAGAGCTCGGCATTGTTGTTGTGACGGTGGGCATGCCTAGTGACTGGAACCGTAATGCGCATGTGCGAAAAGTCTCCGTTTTCAGAGGAACTGCAAATGATCGGCCAAAACGCAACTGAAGTTTACGGTTTTCAGTTGAAATCGCTGTCGTATAAACAGGACCTCAGTGTCTGTGTTGGGTCACTGCTGCACGCCGGGTGGTCACCTGACCACCATACGTCTACCATACCACCACACCAGAATAGCTTGTGGGCGTGATGTCAACAAACTACAGGAACACTACAGGAGAAGTAATCACGTTCACAGGCACACATGTTAACATTTATTTACATAAAATCGCAGCCTTTTATGCGGTTATGTAATCACACAGGCTGACATCGCGATTGCGATTAGATTAATCGTGCAGCACTACATTTTAGGCAAGAAAAAGGCAACACAGTAACAGTATCTTGGTTTATATTTGATCAGCAATGTCTAGATTTACAGTTCGATCTGAGTTTGAGAGAAAGACAGACAGCGCTACAAGTTTGAGGAAAACATGTATTTTGGATTTTACGGTGAACTGTCCTTTTGAAGATTGAGATGCTGTCAGTATGTTCTAACATTTTATGGTCCAAATGGATGACTGAGAAAATAATCACCAGATTAATCAACATTAGTTGCTGCCCCACACTCCACAAACAACTATTCAGCAAAAAACATGCATCAGCTGTTTCACTGGACTTCTAATAAGCAGGACAGAGATTTGGTAATGGAAACAGACAAGTAAGTGAACATGAATACACAAATCACACCTGTGTTTGTTGCCAAATTTGACCAAGTCTTCCACGTCGAGGATAGAATTCACCAAGTCTCTGTCAGTGCTCTTCTCTAAGGAAGAAAAGATGAAAATCAAGACTTGAGTGGGATTTATACTTCTGCATCGAATTGACACTGTACCTACAGTGTAGGCTCTGTGTAGATGCATCCTCTGTGCAATAAATTGTGAAGAAAATAAGGCCCCCACAAAATAGCATTTTAAGTCTTGTGTGTGATTAATCATGGCATCATATGAATAGGAAAAGTCCATTAGCCGCTAGGCTAATTATATACATTGTTTAAAGTTGTAGGCTTAAGCTAATGTTAGCATGTTGTATTTGTGAGGAAAACATGTTTAGTATAAAACAACTGTTTTGTTGGTGAAACTTGAGAGTTGTAATGAAGCCAAATTTTGTGATGTTACCTTTGTTAAATGTCGCTGTTCCTGGCCTTATATGAGCAGAGGAAATCTCCGCTAGCTGCTAAACAAATTTATATTATGTAAGATGCCAAAAGCTTGTGCTAGTAACATTAGCATGTTGTATTAGTGGGAAAAATGTGTCCAGCAAAAGACAAGTGCTTTGTCTGTGAATCCTGTAAGTTAGTACTGAAGCCAATTTGTGTATTTGTGTTTGAAATTGTTGCTAGCGTTTACAGGCCCCCCGGAAAGCTGCTCAGCCTAGCAGCAAATTTTTCCCAGTGGCCACTCACAAGACTGCAGCGAAAAAATCCCCTGTGGCACAGAAAGCATTTTCCCTTTCAGCCACTATTGTAAAAGACAAAATAGTGTCCATCTAATAGTGTCCATATAAATGTTTCCTTACCCCAGCTGCGCCATCTCCACATCCACCCTCCTGCACTCATTACAATCCCAACAAGAGCTGTATGCACTACTGACAACATGTTTCTACATGTGTACAACTACACATAACATTTTGTGACAAACATATTAATATAGGCACACCATGTATGTTGTGAGCCTGGTACTTAGCAAAATCCCCCCCTACTCCCCCTATGCTCAGACAAGTGTTTCTTTTAATCCAAGTCTGAATAGCCTGCAAGAGTACTAGTAGAACTGATGGAACATTTTGAATTGTAATAACCTAATTCTGATATCTCTGGAAACCTCCTTGATATGATTTTATCCCACTCATCTTCTTTAAAAGGCTTTCGAATGAATCATGAAATTTTGTTATCAAAAATGTTATGTTATGGTTGTAAAATGGGTTTACAATGGGTTGATAATTACTTAAACAACAGAGAGCAATTTGTTGTTTTTAATGGTAATCGAGCATAGCTGGCTGTACTAAAATGTGGTGTTCCACAAGGATCCATTCTAGGACCCTTGTTGTTTTTGATATAATGATCTTGCTAATGCATCAAGTTTATTGTCACCTATACTATTCGCTGATGGCACAAATCTCTTGTCACTGACAAGAATTTTGATTCCCTTATTGCCAAACCAAATGCAGGACTCGTTCATTTTTCCCATTGGTTTAAGTTAAACAAGTTATCACTCAATGTCAAGAAATCTAACTTCATTATTTTCAGAAATAAGAACAAGAATTACAATGCAGACAGAGCCAAATTTATATCAATAACAATGCACTTGCACAAGTTTCATCAGCGAAATTCTTAGGTGTAAACACTGATGAGAACCTCTGCTTTAAGAATCATTGTGAATTTGTTTGTAAGAAGGTTTCAAAATCGTTGGGCATTATACAAAGGATTAAACAGCATTTGAAAAAGAGCACACTTCTAACTTTGTATTACAGTTTAATTCATCCTTACATCTCTTACTGTAATATAATTTGGGCCAGCACTTATTTTTCTTATTTACAAGCAATCCATAGATTTCAGTATAGTTATTTATAGGTTTAAGAAAGGAGGGTCGCTTATCAGCCCTTTGGGCTTTATGATCTTTCCTGCACATTTAAATGTTTTTTTTTACTGCTCTTTCTTCCTGAATGTATATTTGTAAGTGCAAACAACAATAAATAATAAAAATAAATAAAAAGTGTGAAAACATTACCTTCAGTGTTGTTGTAGTAGACACATGACCTGGTGGAAACTTTTGCTCTGCACATATGAACCTGAAAAACAGATGGAATGGAATCCAAAGCAAGCAATATATTGAAGTCTGTACAAATGGGTTCAAAACCCACTTTCCATCCTCAATTCATGAACTGCAACTTTTGAGTCTTCTTTAAAGAGAAGCAGCCACATGTACAGTACAGGCCAAAAGTTTGGACACACCTTCTCATTCAATGCGTTTTCTTTATTTTCATGACTATTTACATTGTAGATTCTCACTGAAGGCATCAAAACTATGAATGAACACATGTGGAGTTATGTACTTAACAAAAAAAGGTGAAATAACTGAAAACATGTTTTATATTCTAGTTTCTTCAAAATAGCCACCCTTTGCTCTGATTACTGCTTTGCACACTCTTGGCATTCTCTCCATGAGCTTCAAGAGGTAGTCACCTGAAATGGTTTCCACTTCACAGGTGTGCCTTATCAGGGTTAATTAGTGGAATTTCTTGCTATATCAATGGGGTTGGGACCATCAGTTGTGTTGTGCAGAAGTCAGGTTAATACACAGCAGACAGCCCTATTGGACAACTGTTAAAATTCATATTATGGCAAGAACCAATCAGCTAACTAAAGAAAAACAAGTGGCCATCATTACTTTAAGAAATGAAGGTCAGTCAGTCCGGAAAATTGCAAAAACTTTAAATGTGTCCCCAAGTGGAGTCGCAAAAACCATCAAGCGCTACAACAAAACAGGCACACATGAGGACCGACCCAGGAAAGGAAGACCAAGAGTCACCTCTGCTTCTGAGGATAAGTTCATCCGAGTCACCAGCCTCAGAAATCGCAAGTTAACAGCAGCTCAGATCAGAGACCAGATGAATGCCACACAGAGTTCTAGCAGCAGACCCATCTCTAGAACAACTGTTAAGAGGAGACTGCGCCAATCAGGCCTTCATGGTCAAATAGCTGCTAGGAAACCACTGCTAAGGAGAGGCAACAAGCAGAAGAGATTTGTTTGGGCCAAGAAACACAAGGAATGAACATTAGACCAGTGGAAATCTGTGCTTTGGTCTGATGAGTCCAAATTTGAGATCTTTGGTTCCAACCGCCATGTCTTTGTGAGACGCAGAAAAGGTGAACGGATGGATTCCACATGCCTGGTTCCCACTGTGAAGCATGGAGGAGGAGGTGTGATGGTGTGGGGGTGTTTTGCTGGTGACACTGTTGGGGATTTATTCAAAATTGAAGGCACACTGAACCAGCATGGCTACCACAGCATCCTGCAACGACACGCCATCCCATCAGGTTTGCGTTTAGTTGGACGATCATTTATTTTTCAACAGGACAATGACCCCAAACACACCTCCAGGCTGTGTAAGGGCTATTTGACCAAGAAGGAGAGTGATGGAGTGCTGCGGCAGATGACCTGGCCTCCACAGTCACCGGACCTGAACCCAATCCAGATGGTTTGGGGTGAGCTGGACCGCAGAGTGAAGGCAAAGGGGCCAACAAGTGCTAAACACCTCTGGGAACTCCTTCAAGACTGTTGGAAAACCATTTCAGGTGACTACCTCTTGAAGCTCATGGAGAGAATGCCAAGAGTGTGCAAAGCAGTAATCAGAGCAAAGGGTGGCTATTTTGAAGAAACTAGAATATAAAACATGTTTTCAGTTATTTCACCTTTTTTTGTTAAGTACATAACTCCACATGTGTTCATTCATAGTTTTGATGCCTTCAGTGAGAATCTACAATGTAAATAGTCATGAAAATAAAGAAAACGCATTGAATGAGAAGGTGTGTCCAAACTTTTGGCCTGTACTGTATAAGGAGACACAGTTCATGCTGTGTCAGCTGAAAGAGTTAAATATTTCAAAATACATGGATGGGAGGAAAACACGGAATGGCAATTGTTTGGCCTGTCATGTAATAGGTTGACTGGAAAAAGGTCCAATACTAACAGCTGTAAGGGGGCATATCGCCACCTATCGTAGCGGAGTTGGACATACTTCGGTCAATACATTGACTCCTCTCCCGTGCTTGTATACTGGAACAAGGACAGTAGTCCAATTAATGGCCCAGTTGAGCTGTGAGAAATTTTGAGGATTTGTGGGCATGTCTGAATCTTGATGATAACTCAGCTGACATGGCACCACATATATGCCCCTGGAAATTTGCAACGTGATTAAATCAGTGTTGTAGTTTGCTCACCTTGACGTGGTTGCTCTCCTGACGCATCACTTCCGGGTTGATACACAGCTGCTCCCTGGATCCCAGCACACACACCTTTGGCCTGAATCAGCAGAGAGACAGACATTGAAGCCCTTTTTAGATAGGAGTTGTGCAAATTTGCAGGAAAGCCCAATCAGTCTTCTTTCAGCATTGGCAGTATAAAAACAAAATCGGGGAGTGCGGTAAAATGCCGCTTACCTACTTTTGTTTATACAGAATGTGCCCTTTTCAGGGCAAGGGGGGGCGTGAGCAAGTAACAAAACATGTAGCTCAGTGTGTGATGTAAACAGTGACATGGGAGGGAAGCCGCGGCTAGTCAGTCCTTCGGTGATCCTCTTGTAAGTTGACCCGTTCTTCACCGTCCCTGTCATCTGATGGTTAATGGCCTCTTCGTTCGCGAGGACAAGGAGGGTGCGCAATTCCTTGTCTCCCCAGTTGCTCATCTTTATAGTGTCTGTCAGGTTTGTGATTCCCTCTTGCTACTAGCTGCTCATTCCTACTATCAGCTGTTTCCAGTGTGAAAGGGGCTTGATATATGGGTTTACTAGAAATTGCCTAACTCTCATCTGTGTTTAAATGTCTCTGAGCTGACCCTGACAAGTCATCACACACATCAGTAGTCATTGTGCATAATCAAAGAGTATTCCTAACATCTTGTAATGTTTAGAAATGACAGCTTACCTGTATGAGGTGTTCTTTAACTCATTGATGACCTGTGCGAGTTGAGAGTGTGTCCTGGATGCGTAGATGATCTTGGGAAGATCGGTGTAGTGGGCTGTGATACAATAACGACACACAATAATTACAGTGTATTTTTTAGAGTCACATGAAACATACCGCAATACCGTAGTAATGTAGTAGTCAGGTCAGCTGCTGTTTCCAAAGAGTACCACTTAATGGTCACAGTATAACACCAAATCAGTTCAACTTCAGGGATATCAATCTGTCCATTTAGGAACCACGGGTGATTGTAAATCAATTTCACCTGCTCTGGTGCAAATAAAAGTGGCAACAGGTGCAATGGAGAGGAACAAGCAAGACAACCCCAAAAAGGGAATGGTTTTGCATGTGGTGGCCACAGACCATTGCTCTCTCCTTATCCTTCCTTACTGATTCTTCTCTAGTTTTGTGCTCTGCTAGTGTCCTTTTCACTACTTGTAGCATGAGGGGGTACCTGCATCAGGTTGTACAGGTAGTCCAGCTCCTCCAGGATGGGACATACATACGTATGGTCACAAGAAGGTTTGCGGTGTCTCCAAGCACAGTCTCGAGCATGGAGGAGATGTCAGGAGACCAGCTGTTACACAAGGAGAGCTGGACAGGGCCGTAGAAGGGCCATCAACCCAGCAGCAGGACCGGTATCTGCTCCTCTCCGCAAGGAGGACCAGGAGGAGCACTGCCAGAGCCCTACAAAGTGACCTCCAGCAGGCTACTGGTGTGCATGTTTCTGACCAACTGTCTGAAAACTGAAACAGACTCCATGAGTGTGGCATGAGGATCTGACGTCTTCTAGTGGGACCTGTGCTCACAGCCCAGCACCATTCAGGTCAACTGGCATTCACCAGAGGACACCAGAATTGGCAAGTCCACCATTGGCACCCTGTTGTCTTCACAGATGAGAGCAGGTTCACACTGAGCATGTGACAGGCGTGAAAGAGTTTGGAGACGCTGTGGTGAAAGTTATGCTGCCTGTAACATCATCCAGCATGACCGGTTTGGCGGTGGGTCAGTGGGGGTATGGGTAGGCATATCCTTGGAGGGTCACATAGACCTCCACGTCATAGCCAATGATACCCTGACTGCTGCTGGTACCAGGACTAGGGATGGGCAAACGATCAAAATTTATTATTCGATCATCAAAAAAATTAACGATAAATTATCGATTAATTGATAAGCAAGTATTTCAAAAGAGAGAAAACAAAAGAGTGCAGTGCAGACTGTCGCCGCAAGAGAGCGCAGCTGCCCCAGTTTTGAGCTTCAACCCCCCCAGGCCAAAGAGGAAGAATGGCGCGCATGCACAGTTCACCCCTGGGTGTTTACAACCGTTGCCAGCCAGAGTTACAGGCTTCAGTTTTCAGCAAAACCTCCGTCTTTCAATGGCGTAGTGTTTTCAGAGGCCTCAAGGGAAGCCGCCGAGGCTTTGGAGAGTGATGAGAGCCTCTGTCTGTTTCTGATTTTTTGCCTGGCATAGGTACGGCGGGGGTCTCGTAGGCCTGTCGAGCCGCTGTGCTCGCCGGGCGGAAGGGTCTCGTTGGCATGGCGACTCGCCGGACGGGGGGTCTTGTTGGCATGGCGGCTCGCCGGACCTATGCCAGGCATTGTAGGGGAAACACTGCGACTATCGATCAAAATGATTTGTGATTGATCAAAAGCCTTAACAATCAATCATCGATAATCGAAAATTGATGCCCATCCCTAACCAGGACAAAATCCTCAGAGTGATTGTCAGACCTTACGCTGGTGCAGTGGGCCCTGGGTTCCTCCTGGTGCAGGACAATGCCCTGCGTCATGTGGCCAGAGTGTGTAGGCAGTTCCTGGATGACGAAGGCCTTGATGCCATTGACTGGCCCTCTCATTCCCCTGACCGAAATCCAATTGATCACCTATGGGTCGTTATGTATCGGTTCATCCGATGCCAACAAGTACAACCACAGACCGTCCAGGAGCTCACCAATGCAGTGATCCAGGTCTGGGAAGAGATCCCCAGGACGCCATCCGCTGACTCATCAGGGGCATGCCCAGACCCAGTTGCAGAGAGTGCAAAGAGGCAAGCTGGGCCATACACACTACTGAGTCACACTGTGAGTTTGCAAGTTGGATCAACCTAAGATTTCAATTTTTTACTTTGATTTGAGGTGTGATTTTGAATCCAGCCATTAATGGGTTAATGATTTTGGTTTCCATTAATCATTGTTACATTGTTTTGTTTTCAACAAATTGTACAATGTACATCAGTAAAGATTTTCAACTTGAATAATTCATTCATCAAAATCTGATGTGTGATTTAAGTGTTCACTTAATATTTTGGAGCAGTGTATACAGCTTGTACTGATGCATGCAGTCTGTCCTCCTGTCCTCTATCATTTGTGACTTAAGGTTGCTAACACTGTACCGAGGTTGTCAGGTGATGAATATACTCAACAGTCCCAAAACTTACTGGGTTTTTTTGGCTTTTGCCTTTATTCGACAGGACAGACTTGAGTGTCAAAGGGGAGAGAGTGGGGATGACATGCAGCAAAGGGCTGCAGGCTGGAATCTAATCCACAGCCACTGCAGCAAGGACAATGCCTTTATACATGGGCTGTGTGCTGTAACTACTGAGCTACTGGGCACCCCAAAGCTGAAGTCCTGAAGAAGATAGCCACTGAAACATGTTTTAAGTGCACTAAGCTGTCTGCTGATATGTTATGAACATACTTAGTGCGTCACTGTCTGTAGCAGTTGTTCCCCAGGATGACAGGGGCCTGTTTTGGAACATCTCCTCTCCACCTAGCCTCTCTATCTTGTGGGCAGAGATGGTGTCCTTGAGGTGTTCCCTCCAGGCAAGGGTGGCACACAAGAGGCAGAGGGTTTTACCAGTACCTGTAGGACTCTCCAGGACCCCATTCTGTGACTAAAACACACAGACAGACATGACACTGGTTTCAACTTTGAAGAGTGTTTCTCCCAAATTCTGTGTTTTCTTGCTTATTAGCAGTTACATCCTGACAGAACATGGAATAAGAATTTTCCCAAACAGACAGACACATTTACACAATTATCATACGCAACACAATGCATTTATAACTTTAAAAAGATTGCATCCTCCCCCCTCATCTGTCGTGAGCCTGAGCCGGTGTTCGCGCTGTAGTAGTAGGTATATATAGGGCTAGTACATCTTTTTCCTCACTAATAATAGCCTACTGGTTCTCTGTTGGAAAAAGCCGATGAAGTTAAAGTTAGCAGTTGCTATCCTGCACACCTGAACAGCATGGAAATGAACTGTATAATTGATTTCTGTTGGCGTGCTGTCTTGTGGGCCTGCACAGCGGAGTGATACTGGCCAGAAAATAGTCCCAATTGATAGCAAGGTCTGACGTAATGCGGGGATGTTTTAAAATTATTGAAATAGTCTAACAAAACACATGCATACTTTTTTGTAGCTTAAAACCTTTTGGTTACGTGTCCCCCTTATATCTTCAGAACTACTTTTTCTCCGGTAAGCTACGGGTCATTTCTCAGAGCAGGAGGCTCGTTGACAGTAGTGACACTGTCACATCAGAGCTACAGATGGTCAGCGTTTCACATAACGTCATGTCCAAAAACCTGAACTATCACTTTAAACAATGAAGTATGTTTTTCCTGCATTTAAAGTAGAGGTTGACCGATTAATTGGTTTGGCCGATTAATCGGCGCTGATAGGACGTTTTCCAAACTATCGTTATCGGTGAAAAAATGCTCCGATGGTTGAAAAGGTTTTTTTTCCCTGCAGCGCAACAAGCTGTTTCCTCATCTCTCTCTCTCTCTCTCTCTCTCTCTCTCTCTGTTCGCTGAGGGGAGGGGCTGCTAGAGGGAGCGAGAGAGCGAGAGTCAGACGGCAGGCGCAGCATGTGCAGATGCTGCAGGGGAAAGGAGGCGTGAGAAGTCCACCTGGATATAAGCGGCAAGCGTGATTCTAAGTGCAGTAAAACCCTCACGAGTTAAAAAGCCAAAAAAAAATAACCTCCTTGTCGGAGTGTGCATGTTTGTTATGACCAGTGACCACAGCGTGCTTGTTAAGTAAGCAAACAGCTTGTTAACAAAAACCTAAAAGTTGTCTGCGTGTTGTCTGTTTATCTTAATGTGCCACAAATCTTAAAATTTGGCAAATTCTTGTAAATTTTGGCTGCTGGCCGAGACAAACCATTCTACGGACGCTTCATATCCAGGTCAATTCACACACTTGTGAGTAAAGCGTGGAGAGGGCTCCATCTTATCTCTTCATAAACTAGAGTTATATTATTTTGCGTGACGGATGCTTCATATAACACAACAATATAGCCTACTATTTATTGTGTTATGTCATCGTGTCATTTCTGTCTCTACATGGTCACGCGTTAACAATTCTCCTCTACTCTCTGTATCGCGCACAGCGGAGTTCTGCCACACACACACACACAGGTGAGCACGCTAGAGCATTTTCCTGACCAAACCTGACCTGAGCCCAGCGCAGTTTGTTAGCTGACATAGTTATTGTTATGGACCGTGTATAAATAACCATCAACAGACTGCTGTTATGCACAGACAAACACGCTGCTCGCACAGCAGTGCAGCACGGCACTGTACGTACACTCAGTTGGAGCGGAGCCTGTGTTGCATTCAGGAGTTGTCACGTAAATTCAAACTTCCAGCACTTTAATAGGTCATAGCACAAAACAGCAGCATGTCAAGTGACTTTTTACTTTCATCTGTTCAATAAAATTGTATTATCCTAAATCTTGAGACACCTCATATGTAAGCTAGACAGACATTTCACCTGCTCATTACTGTGCACAAATGTACTGTATGTACTTAGTCCTAAAGAGCCCTAGCCAGTAGATACATAGAAACATCCCAGCAGGCTGTGCTTTGCAAGCATACAAAAAAGTTTCGCACATGTGAAAAAAAAATTTGGACTGGATGCTGTGTTGTCATATACAACATTATGAACTGAACTGAACTTCTTTGTCATTTTCATGCGCAGCACAAAAAAAACAAACTGACATTTTACATACCCCAAGCAAAAAGAAACAAAACATTTAAAAACAATTTGTGTAACATACAAGAAAGAACATATAGCACAATAGTGAGATGAAAAGGGTCGACATTTCACAGTCAAAAACTCCACATCCTGAGAGCAGAACTGGGAGATCCTCTTCACATCACAGCACCATGAATTGTTTGTGTATACACCACGGAGCTTACCAGATGATGCAGCTTCCCTGTCTGCTCTATGTAGTGTTAGCCCCGTTAGCTCAACACCGGAGTCTGGTATGTTACAATTCATCGATGCCTCAGTGAACACAAGGACGCAGCAGTCCCTCACTCCTCAGTGAGTGGATCTCCACAGTCGTATGTAATCCATTTCGTGTCCAGCGAGCGGACATTCGCCAGAAGGCCGCTGGGAACAGCTGGTTTGATGGGGTTAGCTGTTAGCATAGAGCTAACCCCTCCGCACTTCCCCCGCTTCCTGTCACAGCGCTGCCAGCGTCTTCCCTTCAGGACAGCTCCAGGCGAATCCATGGTCATCTCAAGTTACTAATTTATATCCACAAGTGTCCCTGTTACTAGCATATTTGTTGTCTCACAGACTCAGGAGTGGAGGGTGTGGGGGGGATGTTACGCGAGTGATTGTGTTTGTCGGAGGCCTCCACGTGGGGAAGACAGACAGGACAGGAGAATACTCCGACCAATCATTGCATTCAGTCCAAATGCAGTGATTGGTCGGAGTTTTCTTAGAAACATATGAGAATGGTATAATTTTGAGTTTGTATCCCCGGTGGAATTCGCTTACATTTCAGTGTGCCATCGGCTTATTTATAGCATCTTAACCTAAACAAAGAAAAGTGTAAAATTTCCAGAAAGGTAAGTGTTGCTTTACAGGAAATGGCCACTTTAGAATGAAAATACATAGAGTACTTACTCACCCTCATGCCGACAAGAAGTCCAGTGTAGCTTTTGTTTTTTTCCAAATATGTTTATTGAAAAATACAATACGATACTTCCAATCACAGAAATACAATTGACCTTTTCCTTTCTTTTTTTTTAAGAACATATATGCATATGTACACAGTCACATATACACATATAAAAACAAAAATAACCAAAAAACAAAACAAAACAAAAACCCTCTGATAAGAATGTAGAAGAAAATAATTAAATTAAATTACAGAGTACAGTGTAATAAACAATGAACAACCCCCCACCCACGCCCCCACTCAGCTCATCATGACCAACACACATATTACTGGTCGTGTATGCAATATAAAAAGGTACAACTATAACAGGCACACATTCAATTGGGTAGTACCTCTAAATTGGTGAAATAGGAAATAAAGGGTTGCCATTTGTGGAAAAATTTAACTGTACATCTTTTCAACGTGTATTTAATTTTCTCAAGTTTTAAAAAAAAACATTATGTCTTTGAGCCACCGGGAGATATAAGGATATTTAGCAGACTTCCAATGCAACAATAAGGAACGTCTTGCTAGTAAGGATGTGAAAGCTATAATGTCCTTTTGTGTAGAGTTAAGTGAAAGTGAGGGGTCAGGAATCCCAAATATAGCAATCAGAGGGCAAGGTTGGAGATTTACCCCAAGAACAGTGGACATAATAGTAAAATAACCCGACCAGAAACCTTTCAGATCAGGACAAAGAAAAAACATGTGGCTAAGGTGACAAGGAGAGCCATGGCATTTATCACATTTGTCTTCCACTTCCGGATACAGTTCAGATAGTCTAGATTTAGAGAAATGCACCCTGTGTAAGACCTTAAATTGAATAAGACCAAGGCGAGCACAAGAGGTGGTAGATCGTATCCTCTCTATGGCCTGTTCCCAGGACTCCTCATGTATTTGTATTCCCAGTTCCTCTTCCCATGTACACTTAAGTTTAGCATTTGAGTGGTTGCTAAAAGCCAAGATAATATCATACAACTTTGAAATGATTCCTCTGTGATGAGGAACAAATGATAGCATGGTTTCCCACCGCTGTTCTGGAGGTAAAGAGGGGAAATTAGGGAAACACTAACAAAATTGCGAGTTTGAAAATAGCGAAACAGATGAGTAACAGGGAGGCCGTAGCGAGATGACAAATTGGCAAAACTATCAAAGACACCATCTTCACCACATAGTTGGATGTATCAGCAAGGGTGATGAGGATGAGTACAGGGCTGTTGTGGATAACTTTGTCACATGGTGTGAGCAGAACCATCTGCAGCTCAACGTGGCAAAGACAAAGGAACTGGCTGTGGATCTGAGGAGGACCAAGACACCGGTGACCCCTGTTTCCATCCAAGGGGTCAGTGTGGACATTGTAGAGGACTATAAGTACCTGGGGGTACACATTGACAATAAACTGGACTGGGTTAAGAACACTAACGCTCTCTACAGGAAGGGCCAGAGCCGTCTCTATTTTCTGAGGCGACTGAGGTCCTTCAACATCTGCCGGACTATGCTCAGGATTTTCTATGAGTCTGTGGTGGCCAGTGCTATCCTCTATGCTGTTGTGTGCTGGGGCAGCAGGCTGAGGGTGGCGGACGCCAACAGACTCAACAAACTGATCCGCAAGGCCAGTGACGTTGTGGGAACGGAGTGTGACTCTCTGATGGTGGTGTCAGAGAGGAGGATGCTGTCTAAGCTACGAACTATCTTGGACAATGTCTCACACCCACTCCACCATGTGCTGGTCAGGCACAAGAGTACTTTCAGTGGGAGACTCATACCACCAAGATGTACCACTGAGCGCCACAGGAAATCATTCCTGCCTGTGGCCATCAAACTGTACAACTCCTCCCTCTGAGTGGCCCTGAGACTTTCACACACTGCAATAACTTAATTTAACTTGTGCAATAACCCCATTCACCCTGACTGTATATATTCTGTTTGTGTAAATTTTGTTTACAATATATATATATGTATGTACAGTACAGGCCAAAAGTTTGGACACACCTTCTCATTCAATGCGTTTTCTTTATTTTCATGACTATTTACATTGTAGATTCTCACTGAAGGCATCAAAACTATGAATGAACACATGTGGAGTTATGTACTTAACAAAAAAAGGTGAAATAACTGAAAACATGTTTTATATTCTAGTTTCTTCAAAATAGCCACCCTTTGCTCTGATTACTGCTTTGCACACTCTTGGCATTCTCTCCATGAGCTTCAAGAGGTAGTCACCTGAAATGGTTTTCCAACAGTCTTGAAGGAGTTCCCAGAGGTGTTTAGCACTTGTTGGCCCCTTTGCCTTCACTCTGCGGTCCAGCTCACCCCAAACCATCTCGATTGGGTTCAGGTCCGGTGACTGTGGAGGCCAGGTCATCTGCCGCAGCACTCCATCACTCTCCTTCTTGGTCAAATAGCCCTTACACAGCCTGGAGGTGTGTTTGGGGTCATTGTCCTGTTGAAAAATAAATGATCGTCCAACTAAACGCAAACCGGATGGGATGGCATGTCGCTGCAGGATGCTGTGGTAGCCATGCTGGTTCAGTGTGCCTTCAATTTTGAATAAATCCCCAACAGTGTCACCAGCAAAACACCCCCACACCATCACACCTCCTCCTCCATGCTTCACAGTGGGAACCAGGCATGTGGAATCCATCCGTTCACCTTTTCTGCGTCTCACAAAGACACGGCGGTTGGAACCAAAGATCTCAAATTTGGACTCATCAGACCAAAGCACAGATTTCCACTGGTCTAATGTCCATTCCTTGTGTTTCTTGGCCCAAACAAATCTCTTCTGCTTGTTGCCTCTCCTTAGCAGTGGTTTCCTAGCAGCTATTTGACCATGAAGGCCTGATTGGCGCAGTCTCCTCTTAACAGTTGTTCTAGAGATGGGTCTGCTGCTAGAACTCTGTGTGGCATTCATCTGGTCTCTGATCTGAGCTGCTGTTAACTTGCGATTTCTGAGGCTGGTGACTCGGATGAACTTATCCTCAGAAGCAGAGGTGACTCTTGGTCTTCCTTTCCTGGGTCGGTCCTCATGTGTGCCAGTTTCGTTGTAGCGCTTGATGGTTTTTGCGACTCCACTTGGGGACACATTTAAAGTTTTTGCAATTTTCCGGACTGACTGACCTTCATTTCTTAAAGTAATGATGGCCACTCGTTTTTCTTTAGTTAGCTGATTGGTTCTTGCCATAATATGAATTTTAACAGTTGTCCAATAGGGCTGTCGGCTGTGTATTAACCTGACTTCTGCACAACACAACTGATGGTCCCAACCCCATTGATAAAGCAAGAAATTCCACTAATTAACCCTGATAAGGCACACCTGTGAAGTGGAAACCATTTCAGGTGACTACCTCTTGAAGCTCATGGAGAGAATGCCAAGAGTGTGCAAAGCAGTAATCAGAGCAAAGGGTGGCTATTTTGAAGAAACTAGAATATAAAACATGTTTTCAGTTATTTCACCTTTTTTTGTTAAGTACATAACTCCACATGTGTTCATTCATAGTTTTGATGCCTTCAGTGAGAATCTACAATGTAAATAGTCATGAAAATAAAGAAAACGCATTGAATGAGAAGGTGTGTCCAAACTTTTGGCCTGTACTGTAGGTCAGATGGATACAGTAAAGCACATGAAAATACCAATTAACAAATAACAGTAGGCCCTAAGTACTGTACAAATAGATGCAGAGAACATAAAATGAGGTAGTGTTGATCTGATCTGAAGTACAAAAATACAAAATATGGTATAGTCTTGTTATATAACAGTATCCAGTAAGATTGCGGGAAAAAATTGCCTGCTATAAACAAACAATAGTGACACTAACCTAGTTAGTGCAACAAACCAGAAAACCACCTAATACTGCACAGGTTGAGAATTAAGGCTAGTGAGTCCACAAACTCTAAGCAATAATAGAACACAGATCTGAAAAGCTATTGGATCTCACCCAGAAATCAAGGTTTTGACATTGTCGCTGGCTTCCTCCGCTGAAACAAAGTCCTTCTCAACACCGTTGTATGTGATGCGAAGTCGCGCTGGATGAATCAGACCATACTGAGCACCGTCAATGCCACGAAGTTGGCGCCTGACCTCGTTGAATGCAGCTCGAGCCCGAGCTATCTTGGCAGTGTGGTCAGGGAAGACTGAGATGGTCAGGCCTCTGACTTTAATCTGTCGGAGCTCTCTAGCGTGGCGCAAAATGTCAACACAGTCACTGTGATAATGAAATCTGCACACAATGGCTCGTGGATGATCACCAGGCTTGGGTTTGGGTTGGAGGGTCCGGTGAGACCGGTCCAAAAGCAGTTCCTTTACCAGATCGAATGCTTCCTTCAGTAAGGCGGCTACAGCAGCAGTGGTACAGGTGTCAGGACCCTCCGGTACTCCCACTATCCTAATGTTGTTACGCTGCGATCTGGATTCCAAGTCTTCACATTTATTTTCCAGCTTGGCTATGTTAGCTGTGGGGCACTTGATAGTAGTTTTCATCACGGCGATGTCATCGGAGCACTCAGTGAGTGCATGGTCCATCTCTCCGACTGTACCTTTTAGCATGGACATGGTAGCATCGGTAGCAGCTTTATCATTAGCCTGCTGTGTCTTCACCGCTTGCAGGTCGAGCTTGATAGTAGACAGAGCATCCCCAAGAGTATCCTGGAGTTCCTTTTTAAAAATATCAGCAATATCTTTCCTCAGCGAGGCCAGCAACTCGAGCTTGAGGGCAGCGGTTTCAGGGTTAGCGTGCGTCAAGGCGGCCTCTGCAGGAGCTGACGGCTCACTCGAGGATGTGGTCGTGGTTTGTAGACCAGGCCTCAGTTGTGTCTGAATAGTACTGCGAGTCTTAGAGTTCTTTCCAGATATTTTACGCAGTCCAGAGTTAAACTTCCCAACAAAAAGTACTGCGGAGTAAGACAAGACTAAATATGTGACCAAAAAGCACAGATGAAATACAATTTTAAACAAAATCGGCAGGAACTTCTAAACCTACGTCCCACTCCATTAAAGCTCAGCAGCGCCCCCTTCAGTGTAGTTTTTTAATCCAGAAAACTTGTTGGGGGATTGGAGGATTTTTACATACACTTGAAGTGCACAGAACCCACATTTTGAAAATGTAATACAACTCCGCTAGTCTCGCTCACCAGACCTTTCTCAAGAAAAGAAAGGTCTGGCTGGACCGACTCTCACTGTGAGATTGGAGAAAAAAAAAACGCCCCGGCTGCTTGTACTTCTTTCAACCAATCACAATCGTTCTGGGCGGTGCCACAGCAATGGTGCACTTGCAAAAATATTGCCGGGGGGAAACAGGTTTTGGTGTAACACGCCCACAAAAATATCACCTACAGGACGCGAAACATGACAGAAAAATGGCTAAATCCCCACAAAATCAAACACAGCAAAAGTTAGTAAAGGACATGTTGAAAACGGTTGAAAACTGCTACACAACCGGAGGTGGTAGGGCGGGACTTCAGCGGGTGGCTTGTTCTGCCCAGTGAGAGGCTGATCTCTGCAGCGAACTTCCGCCCACTCAGACTACAACTCCGCGAATGCTAATCCGTTTTTTTTTCCTACTCCAAACTATAGTTATTATATCAGCCTTTAAAAATCCACTATTGGTCGACCCCTAATTAAAAGTGGTTGCCATGGTGGGATTTTGTTCATAATCTTTTAAATAAATGAAGACTTGATTAAAAAAAAAAAACATAATTACAGTGAACACTTCTCTGGCAGCCTTCATAGGGTTGTTCAGTGAAGGATTTATTATTTATTCTGCCTACAAACTTGCATTTATTTAGAGATTTATATTCATGTGAAGCATTGTAGCAGAGATAAAAATGAAAGACATTTATTGGATGACCACATAAATATGTGATGACAAGATAAATTCATACTGAAACCATCTTCATCGTGATTTTCAGTCTTCGTAATAAGAAAAACGACACCCATATTTGATGTAGTGTTCTGTCATTCGCGAATGAATCGTTCAAAAGAACGAATATGTTGAGTGAACGTACTGAACTGAATCACTTCTGGAACTGATTCGTTTATTTCTCAGCTCAGTTGAGCTCCGTGCGAACGATGAATCACTTGTGAGTCACGAGGCAGCCAGGGTGCAGGGAGGGACTGCCTACTGCGTGACAAATCACTTGGTGAACAAATCACTCGGAGAACGAATCACTCGGGGAACGAATCACTCCGTGAACGACGTAACCCTGATCCCTGAGTGATACAAATCATTTCTTCTCAGCGACACACTTTCAGAGGGACCGTTTTCTCCAAGCTAACGGCTAATGTAGTCAAGAGTCAAGCCACTGAACACAATCACACACCTCCCCATTGTTTTAACAGACTTAGTTTCCAGATAAACAAATTTAAAATGTTAGGCTGGCCAGTAATAAGACTCAGCACTCCCGAAAGCCGTGAACTGAACTGAATCATGAATCGTTCAGCCGTGAATCAGTTCAGTGAGTCAGACTACACAGTCAGGGCTCCTCCCACCAAGCGCTGAACGATTCGGAGAACGAATCTTTTGAATGAATTTTTTTAATGAACTGAACTGCCCATCACTAATTTGATCTTGGTAATGCAGGTTGAACATATTAAAAACCTTCATATAGGGTCCGCTGTATTAATAAGAGCTGTCCCCCCCCCCCCCCCCCCCACACACACACAACGATATGGAATTTCCGCCCTTGACGCACACATAACAATGATATGGAATTTCCGCCCTTGACACAGAGGACTGTAAAGCACGGAGCTCTCACTTCAAAAACTACGTTTTTTACGTTTTTGACTGTAACTTAAACGTCACCCCAATTTCAATGAATGACTTCCTGCACTACTGTCTAGCTAAGAAACATTACAAAAACAGGTGTAACTCTCAGCAATACTTAACGTTACCTTCTGAAGACACTCAATCACTTTGCTCATGTAGTCCTTCTGACAGTCATATGGAGGAAATGGGAAATTCACTGTCACTCCGTTCAGAGTTAGTGAAGGCATTATTGTCTCCTAGCTTCGACCAGCAGCAGCAGCAGCAGCATTCGTCACCTAACTAACGTTACCGTTGTGCTAAATATGACGCACTTTATAAAAACTCCTCGTAGCTTCGGTAAACTGTCAAACAGTTTTAAGTTGTCTAAATGCCGTAAAGCGAGCAGTTACTACTGCTTGCTTTGGTCGCTGTAACTGCACAATGACTAACACCTGTCCAACTCCCTAAACATGCCTGATCTTGCCGCCAGCTTTCCGATTTAGCCCAGTGCTCATGCGCACTGTAATGACTTCCCCCCCCCCCTTCTTCTTCTCGATTTCCGGCAGTTTTGACGCTACTTGGCGTATCACTTCCCTCTACTGGACAGAGTCTATTTAAATCTTCATATACAGCCCTGCTTCACGCAGGAACTGTAAGGCTGCTTTTGTTATCATCTGGTGGTTCTCACCCTGGCCAAAAATAGCTTTAATAGAAAATGTCTCCACACCCAGTTCTGCCAGCTTCTTATAGAAAGACATCCTCTCTATTCTATACATCTGACATTCCATAAAAAATGTTTAATTGTTTCTGATCGCCCACATTCACATAGTCCATCAGGATGCTGCCCCATAATATGCAGATAATGATTTAGCCTAATCCACAATGCCCAAGCCTCAGTCTGCAGATGTTAATAGATTCACTTCGAGTTCCAGAGCTATAACTAATTTTTCTAACCAAAGGCTGTAAAGAAAAATAATACCTTCCTTTAGTCTCCTTTTCCCACAGTTCCTGCCTTTCTTTTTCCACACCCTCTTTGATTTTCTCTCTCAGTTCCACTCTTCCTGGAGATATATTAAAGTCTACTACTTCTTTCTGCAGGGTTGCCTTTGCTATAGAATCGGTGATTTCATTTCCCTCAACTCCAGCATGTCCAGGAACCCAACAAAACATGACTTCACACCCATTCTTTTCTACTCGAAAAAATACATACAATAATTTTTTAACAAGATCCGGCCGAGCTTTCGATATACCTCCTCTTATAGCCATTAGAGCTGCTGCTGAGTCCGAGCAAATCAGAACTGATTTTGGTCTTTCTTCCTCAGTCCACCTCAGAGCCCAGAGAATTGCCAGTAATTCTGCAGTAAAAATAGAACTTCCATCTGAGATACGCTGATCAAACTTGAGTCTTAACTGATCTACGTACACCCCAAATCCTGCTTTCCCACTCTCTGGATCCTTAGAACCATCTGTGTATATTATCAGCTTCTCCTCCCTGACTGAGTTGAGATATTCTTGTATTATGTTCACCTCTTTCTTGTCTTGAAGAAAGCACAGCTTGATGTTTAAGTCCTGCATTACCCACGGTGGTATTGATACCCAGCTTGTTTGTTCCACTATGCCACCCTGTTCCATGCCCAGTTTCCTTGCCCACTTATTTATTCTGGCAATATATGGCTCATGCCTGCCTTCTTCCACCTCTTGTAACAGACACCTAGCTGGGAAGGTTTGAGCACTCCTACTAATTTTTATCCAGTACTGTAATCCTAACTTAATGCGCCTTAACCATAGGGGCATTTCTCTCATTTCAATAACTAGTGCAGGGATTGGGGAGGTTCTAAAGGCTCCACAGCAGAGTCTCAGGGCCTTTGCCTGTATGACGTCCAACCTAGCCAGCACAGTTTTTGAGGCAGCACCATACACATAGCACCCATAATCAAGAGCCGATGTAATCATGGCCTGGTAAATTAGTCGCAATGTTTCCCTGACTGCTCCCCACTCACACCCAGCCAGACTTCTTAAGATGTTAATGATTTTTTCAGATTTCTCCACTGTGCACAACCCATGACATGCGCTCCTCAAACCAAACACAAAATTTAAAAACCTTCACCTTTTTCAGTTGTAGCCCATATAAGTTCAGCCCTAAATTCGGTAACTTTCTTTAAAAACCAAAAATCATATATTTAGTTTTGGACACTGAAATCCTAAAACCCCATGTATTCCCCCATTCCTCTACAGTCTGTAGTGCCTTTTGAACCTGTTTCAAAATAAATTCCACATTTCGTCCTCTTTTCCAAATGGCCCCATCATCAGCAAACAAGGAAAGCCCAAATCCTCTTCCTATATTATCAAAAATGTCATTTATCATAATGTTAAACAAAACTGGTGATATTACACTTCCCTGTGGTGTACCGTTCTCTATTTCTACTACCTTAGAGCTGACCCCACCTACCCGGACTTGTATAGTTCTTTTCCTTAAAAACCCTCCCCGTCCCCTAATTCCAAGATCATAAATTTTAATCAGTAATCCCTCCTTCCACAGACTGTCATAAGCTTTCTCGATATCCAGGAATACACCCACCACCACCTCTTTATTATTAAACGCCTTTTTAATATCTTGATCCAGCAGTGTAACTGACTCCATTGTGGATCGTCCATTTCTGAACCCATTCTGGACATTAACAAAGAGCCCTCTTGTTTCCAATACATGCACTAGCCTATTGGTAACCATCCTCTCCATTATTTTACAGAGCACTGCTGTAAGTATAGGCTGACATGAGCCAGGGTCAGACGCCTTCTTGCCTGGCTTCAAGATCGGAACCACTACTGCATGTTTCCATTCCTTCGGCAAGCACCCCTACTCCCACACTGTGTTTAACAAAGCAGGGATTTCCTCCAACACTATGTCATCCAGGTGTTTAAACAGCTCATAAGATAGTCTGTCTCACCCTGGGGTGGTGTTTGCCCCTGCCATAATAGCGTCCCTCAATTCCTTCATAGAAAAGAATAAATTAATTGGCTCACCATTTTCAATACTCCTTTCCAGCTGGTTGCAGCGAGCACCCCACCCCAGGAGAATTCATGTAAAATGGGAGATTAAACCATGAACATAAACTACAGATCACCTGTAAAGCATTTTAAAAAATTAATCTATCATAATTAAAACAACTATAGACTGAAAACAAACTGATATATGGGTCTGATCACTTTTTTTATGAATTGACATCATTCCAGACAGGATGTAAGTGTGTCTGTGACTTCCTGTACGGACTCAAGGCTATTCAAGAGAAGGCTGAGACACGGGGTCAAACATGGGGGGATTGCACATGCGCAGTGTAACTTGAGCTGCGATGCTGGAGGATGACAGCAGGGGCGCTAGATAAAAAGCGCAGGATCAGGCGATCAAGTAGTGCGCTTGGTGCAGTCTGTTTGGACTTTTGGACGGCTGCTGCCTGAACTTGTCGGAATTGCATCTCTGTCATTCTCACCCACAACGCAGGCCACCAGTGACAGTCCAGTAATAAGCTGTGAAAATGACATGCATGCACATCCCCTTTATTCCCGTGGTCTCACGCCATCTACTGAGCCTTTGAGGAAGTGCAGACCAGATTTTACTGCGCGTGTGCAATCCCCCCATGTTGGACCCCGTGTCTCAGTCTTCTCTTGAATAGCCTTGTACGGACTGAAGGCTGCTGGAAACTGTCGGGAAACTGTCCAACTTCACCGCAGCTTTTTGTCACCGCCCCCTGCTGCAGCCGCCTCCTCTCCTCTTCTTTCCAGGCGAGGCGCAGTTCATCTGGAACGAGCCTAATAACATCCACCGTTGCATAATTACATAGCCCAATATAAGTGCAGTTGGATTCTCTCAGCACCGCAGTTGTCTTTTTGTAAGTCCTTATGAATTCTCCTTCACATCTTCCCTTGACCTCATGACATTTTCCATCGAGGTCAAGGAAAAGTGGTTAGGAAAAGACGATAGGAGGGACTTTTCGACCGTAACCATGGTATGTAGCGTGTGAAATAGTGTATGGTGAATGTGCTAGGAAGGTTAGTATCGGCACAGTCACTACCTGGAGCTTGCATAAACAGAGTCTAGGTTTTTTGAAGATGGCAGTGCTGTTTGGGCTTAGAAAGCCATATGTAAGTAAGGTAAAGGAGGTTGTTGGGTCGGTGTGGGGAGCAGTGAGACCTGGCATTAGGGGAGTGTCTCTGGGACACCAGAGATCACTGTCTAGCCTCCTGGAGGTGTCGTGGGACCAACTAGAAAAAACACTGGTGAAAGGAGATTCCCACAAGATGACCCCAAAGACATGTTAGTTATCACTGCTCACTGGTATGTATAGTTAAGCCTTGCCATAATAGCTTATCATAGGGCTTAGGAGGTTATTCATTGAGTGCTGATCATTTCTCTAGAGCACACATTTCTTGTGTTTATTTGAATGAAGTACTTGTAAATGTGACATAGAAAAAGCACGCCTGTGATTGTTTTTAACCCCATCTTCATATGGACTGGAGTAGCTGTTTATCATTTTACTCCTCATGAATTTCCAACAATCACTGGGTTCATGGATGGTAGTTATTTGTAGAGCTCAAACCACATTTCTTTTCTGCTACTAACTGCATTGTGTCTGTGGCACTGAGCACTGCAAAATGTCAAAGACTGAAAGTTAGCATCACAAGGGTCGAATCACTGAACATTTACCTTTAATTCACCATTGAGAAACATTCTAACTGCTGTTTCAAGAAGTTGTCATCCACACATTAAAATTACACAATTTAACAACTACATAATTTATTCTGTCATAGTGAAATACAATAATCATGAAATCCAGTAGGTGGGTGTTAGCAGGGCCTACTCCTCTCCAGCAGGGGTGAGAACAATGTTGTTTGTGTCGTAGTAGTTCTCGTCGATGAGAGGAAGTCCCTCCTCCTCTCTCTGCTTGATCAAACGCTCAGCCTCCCTTCTTGCCCACTGACGCATGCTGGAATGAACACACACACAGACAGAGCGAGAGCGAGAGAGAGAGAGAGAGAGAGAGAGAGAGAGAGAGAGAGAGAGAGAGAGAGAGAGAGAGAGAGGGAGGGAGAGAGAGAGAGAGAGAGAGAGAGAGAGAGAGAGAGAGAGAGAGAGAGAGGGAGGGAGAAAGAAAAACTTTTGATACTGAACATTCATAATAACAAACCCCAGCTTGACTGGCGGGTGGGTGGCAACTTGGAACAGAAAACCACCACAAAAGATTGAAAGCATAAAAAAGAAGCAGCAATCAAAGGATAAAAGGCATCTGCAGGTAATGTGTATTAAAAATGAGTCCTCTGATAAAAAAACGTGGCTTAGCAGAACCGTCACCATGGCATGAGACACATCATCTTCTCCCTGAAAATGAACAGATGAGGAACTGAGAACTCACCCATGGTCTGGCAAATAGTGGATAAATGTTCCTCCAATAACTAGAGCCACTGAGATGCCAAAGAAGAATCCCACCCTCATGTTCCACTCATCCACCACAGGGTCACTCGAGAAGCCATGGTAATCTGGATTCTAAATATCACACAAGAGAAGCATCAGATACAGTCCAGACCTTCACCTGGCTTTACCGACATGTGTTCATTCTTTTGCCACCTTAGATCGAGACAG